CTCGATATTGGCTTGAAAAAGCCGTTAGTCCAGCTATCAGTTGGTCTAAACATTCCAAACAAAACAGCAGCATTGACTGATCATATTTCATACGAACACACCAGCTGAGGAGGTTGGTTTTCCAGGTAACGTCATCCATCACTTAGCGTAGTTAACTAACACTTTTTCCATACCAAATCAACAATGGTCGGCCAGCTCTTGATATCTCAATCACAATGTATTATGATAAATTCAGACGGGGTAATTTGAAATCTTCTACTAAATGTATCTATTGTGAAAATAAATATTTTTAAAAAGTTATGATATGTGAGATGTATTGAGAATACTTTCTTGTATAAATTTATATGAAATATCATGATATTCAGATCACTAGTTGTTATTTTTGGATTTTTATGAGCAAACTCTATTTTTTGTGGTATTTGAATAACTTCTTTTATATATCTATTATTTTTTCCTATAATTTAGATTGAAATCTGGCTATATGGTACTTTGAAATATATATAATTTTTAGGAAAAAAATAATAAAGATATGTTGAAGTCACGTGACCACAGCTATTTATCCAAGTGCTCTGCCCGCTAGATAGTTGCAATGAACCAACCTTCCACCTCCATCAGGTTATGGGCAAAAGAGCTCGACCACCACCAGCGCCATGCTGGTAGTAGTGGGGACTAGCCGATCCAAACGCCCCTACAAAAAGGTGGGCATTGAGTGGAAGTGGTGGTGGATTACTGGGACAAACCCGCTTCCCAAGCAAAATACTCGCCGTCAGCAGAACGCGTGCTCATGTAATGTAACGCATCAATAAGAGCTTTCGAGCCCAACGTTTCCTTTAGGCTGCTCTACCTGGTTATCGCCAAACAAACGGCGACGAGCCTGCTGCTGTCAAAAGTTCAATCTCAACATATTTTCGCTCTCCAGAATGGAATCCATTTCGAGCCTTTTCAGTGACCAAAGTTCACTCAGCAGTGTCCCATCTGACTTCAATGAGCATGAAGCAGAGCAAATAGTCGAGGTCTACCAGCCCAGAAATAACCAAGACCTGACAAAAGATATACTTTCCAGCTTTTTTCGTTTCTTACCTGCAGAGGGAAGAACGACATTGGCAAATTGTATCGTGAATACAGGCAATAATCACGAATCACTTTACTCCCTGAGCCAGCACCTCAAAAATGCCATTTTAATACCGAGTAGGCCCTCCCTTCCTTAACTCTTTGATGCTCTAAACTTTTGATCGGAGTTTCTGACATCTACTTTAGTGCGTGCTAGAGGCGCCACCCCATCTATATCTCCCTCGCCCTTTTATGACGAAGATGAAATAGAGAATGTGGCGGCTACATTGGATGAGTCAGGAAGCCGAAAGGACCAGACTCTAGTCAAGAAATTGTGCCTTGAACGGGACAATTACCGTTGTATGGCTACCGGGATCATTGATAGCGATGCAGGAACACAGGAGAACCCTGGGCCAAAGGCACCCACAAACCTCTGTCATATTATCCCATTCTCCTTGGGCAAATGGAACAAGTCAACTGTAGGTCAACTCTGGACAATATATTTCAATTATTTCAATTACGCTGTATTAAATACCCTTTTAGGAACACCAAATCGCCCAAGTTTGGGCCACATTGAAGAAATTATTCCCCGCTATTGGGCTTGAACCAGGGGAAGTCAACGATCCAAAGAATTTGATGACATTGTGGGATAGCGCACACTCAGCCTTTGCAGCCTTTTCTCTAGCGTTCGAGCCGACGGTTGGGCAACCCTACCATGTTTTTCACAGACCCGACAGAGACTAACACTATTGCTGTCCACCAGAGCGAGCCAAACCAGTACAGGATGCTTATTCTAGGCGAATGGCATACTGTCTTACTTCTCCACCTCCCGGCGCCTCAGGGCGGTCCGAATGGACCTCGGCTTGTTACCTTCGAAAGGCATGGTGGTACTGCCATCGATCTCCCAAGCCCTGCACTTCTTCAGATGCACGCTGCACTTGCAAAGGTACTGCACGCACCGGGAATGGCGAAATATATGGAGGACCTTGTGAGAGATGGAAACGAGATTGGATGTCTTGCACCAAGTGGTAGGTCGAACTTATCGGACTTGCTGCTGTTAAAGATGCTAGGATCTCGCTGTGAAACGGTTAATTAAATGGTTTTTATTTCACTTTCTTTTTGCCATCCCACTTTTACATTTTATCCGTTCATGATTTACGTATTGATGAGCTGTGCAATATTTCAATTCTACGCCGTATAACCACTAGCTAAGTTAGCTAGTTAGTTAACGTGATCACCCGCCTAACGATCGCTCCCACCTAACGATCGCTAATTTTGTCATCCTCAACGTTCATATCCATCTTCTTCATCAACGCGTAATATGGTCAATGAACGCGTTATTCAGTTAGCAATTGATGAACTTAATAAAGAATTGATTCCTAATTACACTGCTACTGCCAAAAAATATGGAATCAGTTGCATTACATTGGCATAGCAGTTCAAAGGCCAGCAGATCTCAAGATTGAAAGCTATTTCAATCTTCTGCTGAACACTTACAGATTTCAAAGAACAAACCCTTCTATCTCATATAAATTGTCTAGCAGAGCGCGGCTTTGCTGTTACACTTCAAATCCTTGCAAATTTAGTTGAAGAGATTGTCAAATCATCAGTTGGGCATAACTGGGTGCAACGCTTCTGTCAACGGCATAAGGATCAAATCCGGAGTGTTTATTTACGAGCGATTGATCATTCAAGAAAGACTGCAGATAACTCTGTACATTTCAATCACTATTTCACCCTTGTATTGCTATCTTTTGATTATGATTCTGTGGCTTTTAATGTGATTGATGGCTAACTTACTGTCTGTCATTCAGCTGCAGGAGAAGATTGCGAAATATAAGATTGAATGTTCAAATATCTACAACTTTGATGAAAAAGGTTTCTTATTAGGCCTTTTACAAGTTGTCAAGCGAATTGTTTCAATCGAATCCCTCAAATCCAAACGCAATAAGGGTGTATCTCAAGATGGAAGTAGAGAATTCATCTCACTACTTGCAGCCATCTGCATGGATGGAACAGCTCTACCACCTGCTCTTATATATAAAGGAGAATCACGCGATATGCAAGACACCTGGTTGGAGGATTTTGATGATGAAAAGGATAAAGCATACTTTGCTGCCTCTGAGAATGGGTGGAGTAATGATGAATATGAGCTTATTTGGCTGCAGCAAGTGTTCAATCCTCTTACAAAAGCAAAAGCAGGCCGCAGCTGGCGATTACTTATATTGAATGATCATTCTTCTCATATCAACATAAAATTCATCAGCTATGCGGATCAAAATCGAATACTACTGACAGTTCTTCCTCCTCACTCCACCCACCGTTTACAACCGCTGGATCTGGTGATATTTAGACCTTTGGCAAAAGCTTATTCAAATGAGCTAAATGAGAATATACGGACTGGATTGGGCCTCATTCGCACTACAAAAAGAGATTTTTGTCAGTTATTGAAAAAGGTGTGGGAAATTGCTGTTATACCTTCTAATATTGAGATTGCATTTGCTGCTGCTGGCATCTCACCTTTCAACCCCGAACGTGTGCTTGCAAAGATTGTACGGCTCAAGACTCCGCCAGAGCTTCTAGGACTCAAAACTCCTACATCTATTGGTGGAATGAGGAATCTGATGAAGGAGATAAATCAACAACAACATCGAGTTTCTCTTGACATCCGCCGGGCACTACATGCCTCTGAAAAATTCGCTCTTGACAGAGAACTTCTTCTAATAGAAAATCGAAATCTCCAGCAAGCCCTCAATCGCGAGAGAAAGCGACGTAAACGTGGAAAGGCAATGGGATTGCTAGATTCATCAAATCCCTGTCAGGCTCAATTCTTTTCTCCAACCCAGGTCAGAGCCGCCCGCGAGCAAGCCGCTGCGGCAGAAGCTCTCAAAATTGATTCCCAAGCTCGTCGGCAGGAGGCACAACTACAACGTACAATTCTTCGTGAAAAAAAAAATGCAGAAGCTGCCAAACGGAAGAATGAACGTCAAAAGGCTCGTGAGGAGGCCGCCAGGCAGCGTGAGAAAGCCAAAGAGGCCGCAGCAGTCAAACGCCAGATTGAAAAGGAGCAGTGAGATCTAAAGAAAACTCAGCTGCAAAAAGAGAAGGAAGAACGTGCTGCTATACGGCTTCAAACGCGATTGAAAAAGCAAGTTGAGCAGATCTCTTCAAAGCAGCAACCTGCGCGAGCTTCAACAACGCCAATACGGTCAAAAAAGCAAAACCCACCTTCCAAATCGGGAAATCAGAGTCTGATTGAGATTTTTACTGCAGATTCTGCAGATTCAGCATCAAGTGCAGCTGCTGCTGCCTCTGCTGGCTTCAACACTGCCGGACAGCGAGTTTCACGTTCTGGGCGAATTATTAAACCCAGCAGGTATTAACTACATTAACTATTTATATTTTTAAAGTATATTTTATATGTACTTTTAATGGTTAATATATAATTTTAATATCTACAGTATCATGTAAGAAGTTTGAAACTATTATGACTTCTAATCAAAATACACTAGTTCAAAAGTAGTTTAATATTTGCATTGTTTATTGCTGTAACTAGCCCTGCAGCCACGCGATTTGGCATTGTAATAGATAAATTATAGAGAATACTCTTATCTATTGAATTTCACACCTCTTTTACAGTTTCTATAAGTAGATTTAATGTTGCTATTATGTCATCTGCAAACTCCAACTCTGGCCTGATCTTGTAAATCTCTCTCTTCATTATTGACTACAAATTCTTGATGGGATTCAAATCAGATGAATATGATGGCCAAGGCATGATTTGAATTCTCATCTCACAGAAATTCTGATCAAAAGCTGCTCAGAACATCTTCTTTAATGCTTTTTTACATTTCATTTCTTTAATATCTCTTTGAGTCAGCTATTTTAAAAGTTGTAAGAAGGTTCATTTAACTGCAATTCCTTTCTCTTTTTCAACTGTACACTCATCAGACCATTTGACTCTTCATCAATCTGCAGATGTGTAATCTTTATAAATATCTGCTCAGCAGAGGCATTGAGTTGTATGTGTCTTTTTAAATGCAGAGCAAGTGCATTGAAGCCACTTCCTTCTTCTCATCTCATTCATAAAAAGCTGTATAGATCTTGTTTTAACCTTGTCATTCATCTCAGCACAGAGATTCTTAGTTGAGATATGAAGATTGATGTGAACAGTTATATCATAAAGGTGATCTCACTCAGATTCAGATAGTTTTCTAGAAGCTTCAGACTGGAATTTGAACACTTTATTAACACATTCAGTGGCTTTGCACACAGTGGTCTTGAGAGTGTTTAGTGGAATTTCAGAGTGGATTTGATGAATATATAGATAGCTATATTCTTGACTTTAAAGCTCACATATGCGAGAACACATCTGAGGGCTTAATTCTCTGCCTTGACCCATAGTGGATGATAGTAGTAGAGGAATATAACTAGTAAGATGACAGTAGTATGAGGAAATAATATGTAGCGGGTATAAAGATTCATTATTTTAAAGAAAATATGTGAGGAAGAAGATAGAAAAAATATAGAAGAATTCTATATATAGCAGTATAGAGGTGAAAAATAGGGATAAATGAGTGCATTTAAATATCATGTGACACTATAACTACTACTAACTACTATCAGTTAAACTACTTTGAAACTAGTATATATTGATTAGAAGTCATAATAGTTTCAAACTTCTTATGTGGTACTGTAATTGCGTTGTTAAAATATCGTAGATTTTAATCATCTTGTTGAATTGTAAATGAGCGATCGTTAGGTGGGAGCGGTCGTTAGATGGGTGATCACGTTAACGTAATTCCCAACCGAGCGAGACACCCAACCGAGCGAGACACTAAATTGAAATGCACAAATAATTTATCAATATATCTTTCTTGACATGTCAGAATGCCACCAATTCGCAATAAAATTAAAAGAAACTCTATTGAGATAGAGGGAAAGATTGAAATTGCAATTGCTGCATTGAAAAATCAAGAAATCTTATCTATTTGTGAAGCAGCACAGCTGTATGATATATCTCACTCAACACTAACTCATTGGTTGAAAAGCCGTTTTACATGTACAATTCTACGCGCAAATTCACACTGATTAACCAAAGCTGAAGAGGAAATACTTGTTCAGTAGATGCTAAGTCTGACTAAACAAGAATTACCCCCTCAGCTGACTTTTATTGAGAATATGGCAAATCATCTTCTTACCATATGAGATTCTACCTTTTCCATCAAATCTAATCAAGTGCTGTACAGAACTTCAGAGCCGATATTCTAAATAATACAATTACGAGCAAATCAAATATGAGAATATTAAAGTTATTCATAAGTGATTTAATACACTAAATCATATCTTTACTCAGTATGAAATTCAATAAAAAGATATTTACAATTTTGATGAGACTGAGTTTGCTATGAGACTTTGTGCAAATATAAAAGTTGTTATTAATTCTGAGTAATATAACTGTACAAAGCTTCTGCAGTCTGGAAATTGTGAATGAGTTACTGTTATTGAATCAGTTGTGATTTAAAGGTTGCTTGAGCTGTTCAAAGCTTCTAAGCTTTGCAGCCCTTCTTATACAAATTAACTAGTGCGGTAGCGTACGCCATCCTTGATAATAGAGGGTGGTGTACGCCACGGAAGAATAATAAGCTGAAATTACTACATCCTCCCCTACTAAATCCGTCTACGCCCTCATGACAGTAACAGATCTACCATGCGCACCTGCCTTTGCAACACGCTATTCCTGAAGTGTTTGCAGCGCGGCATTCGCCAAGCCCTCGTTGTGATTGTACATTCTAACCAAAAACGGTAAGGCGCCCTTGTTTCGCGCGCCCCCGAATCCCTATCACAACAACAGCATCCCATCACTAATCAACGCCACATTTGCAACTATTCTATTCCATTCACTCACTCACTGATTTCAATCATTCTACATTTCTATCCATCTATTGAATTGTCTAATCCCTCTTCTTCTACAATATAGCATTTAATTATTGCAGTTTCTGTCACTTCAGTTACATTGAGTGATCTGCTGGTAAACTTTCATCAATCAAACTCTGTCAAAAGTTAATTTGATCATTAATTGAATGATTTGTTGATGAATTGTTTCAGCTTCTTTTCTGAAACCCCTTCTACCTGCAATCTCATTTCTGTTGAGAAGGTCGCCGGCGATGATGATCATGTGAATGCTTTGGACAATGAGAAGGCAGATGAAGCTGTTGATGAGAATATGAGCAGCAATGACAGCATCTATGAAGATTATGAGATGATTGATGCCTCTGCATTATCCTTATTCACATCTCTACCTCCCTCATTTTGACTGATTGTTCTCTATATGTGCATTTCCATCATTTTATTGAGCTTTCTGTGAATCTCTCTTTTGAAAATCTTAAATCAATATGTCAGACTCTTCACAAAATAGAAATTTATACTGCATTTCTACATATATATCTTGAGATTCTGAGGTTCTTGACACAGGCTGAATTTTGATTTTCATCACATACAGATAGTTCTTAAAGGTGTTGAGCTTGAGCATTTTATTGATATATACTCTTTCTTTATTTTTATGATATTTCTGTATTTTTAGAATTCAGATAAAGCCTTTGCAGTGGTCATTGAAGCTGTGTGTTAATAAATCTTTTTCATGATTTCTCTTTTTCTCTTTTTTTTCTTATCATTACTCTTATATAACCTTTTATCAGTTCTACACTTAATGACTAAATGTGGCAGATCTCATATTTTTCAATGAGAGCATTCTGCCTCTGCATATTATACTATCTCTGTTCACAAGCTCAGACAACTACAGCAAATAATTCATCAAAATTAATCTTATTCAATCTTTAAGCATTGTTAAATATTGAAATAGTTTGATTCAATATGTCTATTGATATTTCTGACAGCTCATCCTTTAAGGTCTTTATGATTGAGCTAATATAGACAATTGAATTCTTCCCTGAATTCCTTTGTTTCTTGCAACTCAATTCATATGCTGATCAGCTGCTTTGAGTTTATCTCTGACTGTGTTGCACCCACTGTCTACATTGCAATACTGTACAGTCAGCAACAATTTTATCATTTATTGAAATGTGCTGTATACTCGCCTTTTCCATTTCCTCTCATTCTTTTTTGATTATTATTGAGAGGTCTCAATAAGTGATATTTTCTAATTCATAAGTATTGATGATTTCTCTAATTTCTCTGAGCTTTTCTATTGTAAGCTCTCTTTTTTTTAATGCTGATGATAGTGCTGCAGATGATCACAGCTCATTGAGATCCTCTATCTTCATCTCTATAAGATAAGAGCCATTTATAAGATTGCGTAGGACCTGTCTCCCTGACTTCTTTAAAGTGTACATTTCAAAAGGGTGTGATTTGAAGATTTTGTACAGCTCAAACCACTTCGGTTGAAACTTCTCAGATTTTTCATTTCATATGAGGACTTAAGTGCTTACAATGAGGCTCATTTCTTTCACTAATGAGTCTTGTATTCTTTTCAATTGTATAGCGCGGTTGAGTAATAATTCATTTGCTTTTGCTTAAATGTGGTGAATTTCTCTCATTTTTGATTCCACATTTGCAATCACTACCTCCTCCTCTATCTGCTTCTGCATATCCCCCGGGATACACAGATGCATCTCATAGAGCAAATAGAATAGCAAATGTTTTAAGATTATATATTGATGAACTCACATTGTAAATAATATCTGTTTTAAATATCTATTTCATAATCTTGTGGGTTTTTTCATTAGATATTTCATCAGCATGCTGTTTAGTATTTTATTTAGACATTCAACTTTTCCATTTGTATGAGGGTGATAAGATGTTGTTGTGTGATGCTTTGTCTGCAATTGTTTGATGAGATGTTTCACAGCTCCTTTTATGAGATTTGCATCATTATCTGTAAATATCTCACAGAGTATATTATAATTGATGTAAATATCATCATGTAGAAATTTAACAATGATTTCCTCTGTCATCTCTGACACTACTCACATAATTGGCCACTCTGTATGTATGTATGTATGTATAGGTTTAACGTCCCGGAGAAAACACGGGCAGCGCCCGTGTTTCAGAAGCCTCCCGAAGGGCATGGAGACGTGCTACGCTGGAGAGATTTCTATATACACAGAGAGAGAAAACAGAATCCAGGTGGCAACTCTTGAGAAGACTCAGCTCATTGCAAAGGATTTTTCTGAGCTGCGCATCCACTTCTGGCCCGACGTATGGCCATTCATGGTGGGGCTATAGTGTGGTTCCCTGAGGGGACCGCCGCTGCCGTGCCTGGAAGGCTTTATAGTGAGCAGAGAGGGATACCTCTCTCAGTTGATCAGAAAGCTGTCTGTGCTTCTAACATCAGAAGAAAGACAGACAAGATAAATAATGAAGGAGAGAGCACTGAAGAAGGTTGTGACAGGAAAAGAGCAGAGAATGACAGAGAGAGCAAAGAAAAGAAGGAAGAAGAAGCATTTGAGCCGATAGAGACAAGGGCAGACGAGAGGAAAACAAAGCAGAGTACGCGTAGATACAATGCCGGCAGTCAAAACCATATCAGCTGAGTCAGACACGTAGACTGTACTGATTACACCACAGATGATCACTGTAGACAATGATCTGCTCTCAATTGCTGTGTATGAAATGATGTTAATGTTTTATTGCCTCTACAATGGCTAACATTTCTGCATCATAGATGCTGTAATTTCTTTCTACTGTAGACTTTTTTTTGCTAAAAAATGCTACTGAGTGAAGGTGCCTATCTTTCTGTTTCTAAGAAAATATACCACTTATGACAAAGCTACTGACATCACAAAAGATAATGATTGATTTGATGTCACTGTAGAATATTAGCAATGAAGTTTTTGTGAATCCTTGTTTGAATTGTTGCATCTTGACCTCATGTTTGTTTGTTCATTGAAATATTGTGCTTCCTTTTAATAGTGCAATGAGTATGAGGCAGATGCAGCTATAATGATAGATGAATTATTTGTAAAAGTTACAGAAGCTGAGAAATGCTTATAGATTTTATAGTGTTTTTGAAAATGATCATTGTACTATAGCATCTACTTGTACTGAGTCTATTCTGATGCCCTTTCTTCCAACAAAATAGTTTAGAAAGTCGATTTCTGTTTGTAAAAATAAGTATTTGAATATATTACATATGAGGTTTGTGTCTCGGAACTTCTGCAGCATTTATCATATTTGAATTCAATATTTGATGAAGCTGTCCTCCTTCATGTAGGTGACAATATCATCAATGTAGACTACAATGAAATCATCAATATGTTTTTGTAAGACTGTGTTTATAAACTGTTAGAAATGAGCAGATGCATTGGTGAGGCTGAATGATACAACCAGGTATTCATATATGCCATATCTGATTTTGAATGCAGTGAGATGTTCACGTCCTTTGACTATTTTGATGAAATGGTAGGTGTGTTGAAGGTCTAATTTGATTATTCATTTTACTACCCCCAGTTGTTCTAGTAGGTCTGAGATGAGTGGGATTGCATATTGATTTTTCACAGTGATAGTATTGAGTTTGCAGTAGTCTACACAGAATCTTTTATCACCTTTCTTTTTATCTGCAAATAATACTGAAGATGTAAATAGTGATTTGCTCAGATGTATAAAGCCTTTGATCAGATTATCATCTATATACTTTTTTAACAGATATAGCTCTAATTCAGACATTGAGTATAGCAGACATTTACTGAGAGTTTTATTATTCATCAGTGCGATATGTATGTCTGTACTGAAATGTGGGTGGAGAGTGTTTGCAGATGATTTGTGAAAAACATCTTCATAGTCTGCTATTTCTGCAGGAATTGATGTGGGTGCAGGGTTTTCTGTTTCTGTTTGAAGCCATATCAGAAGGGGTGTGAGATCGGTGTCATCTGATTGATATAGATTGATTTCCATTTGTTGCTCCCATTGTGTACAGGAGGTGATTTGTCCGGTTTGCCAGATGCTTGGGTTAACTTGTCATAATCAGAGCCATTTTAATATCATTGATGTTGACATCTGTAGTGGTCTGAAATAATGGGTGTGTAGTTTTCCCATTGGGTCGAGGAGGTCGAGTTCGTATATATATGAGTATGATTTGTAGGAGTTATTGTTAAGGTTGAGTAGTTTAACTTCAGTACAGAGTATCTTTTTCACATTCAAAGCTTCCACTGCTCTAAGTGCCAGAATGTTGAATACAGCTCCGGAGTCGATCATTGCTGAGATGTTGATTGTTGATATGAGATGTTTCAGATTATTGAAAGCTATTGAATTCTGTGGTGCTGATATGATGTAGTATATGATGTGCTCAGATAATCTGTAGTTATTTATTTTCTGTGCAAAAGAGTCTTTCTTTTGAAGCTTTGTTGAGTACATCATTGCTTCTATTGACATGCTGATGAGTTTTTCTGTTTGAAAGCTGGTGAGAGTGATCTTGATGAGATGTTTATGATGATAGATGTTGATAAGAGAATTCTAAATCTTGTTATTGCAATCTGAGAGCTGAGAAAGTTTGATCTCAAAGCTAAGTATTCTACTCTGAAGAAACAAATATTTTATCAGTGTCTCTTTTTACCACATCAGATGTAGAGGCTGTCCCTCTGTTATTGAAAGAATTCAGCATTTAATATGTTTGAATTTTTACCAGCTCCTCTTACTTAGCACTCTGAGGATCATAATCAGTTCCATTCTCAATCATTGAATCAGATACATTTGATATCTTGTTTAATAAATTGATACATCATTATTATATAGCTCTCCGCCTATAGTGTCATCTGTTTCCATTCAGTGAAAGTGGCTGATCACATGTTGAAATAGACTTGATTGATTTGTGTCAATATAGATTGGGTCAGTTTTGCTCAATAGATAATGTATATGATGACATCATTCCACTTCATGTTTGCAGCAATTGTCTCAAATTAAATGATAAATTTAATTGCTTTCTGATATGATTTCATTTGAAGTTCCATCAGTTGTAATTCCGCTTGTAATTCTGGGTTGGTGGTTTGATAATTGTCTTGTAATCATACTTTGAGAATTTCTCATAAGGTGATGTGAACATCATGTGATATCTGTAGTCTCTGGATGCGTTGGTGTATGGGTTTATCAAGGTAGCTGACTGTATAGATGATTTTAAATACATTATTGATGATGAGTCTCTCCCATATGTTGTCTTCAATGTTCAATAGTCAGAATCTGATATCAGAATGACCATTAAATGCATCTGATTCTTTCAGCTTGGTTTTGACAACTGTGGCTGTTTCAGTGGTATTACTGTTTGTGAATGGGTTACCCCTTGCATTATTCTGAGCCTTTAGTGTGGTGATGCACGCTAGCAGGTATCGGTTCTCTGTTTCCAAGGTGGTTTCATTCATGTTGATATGTTCAGCCAGGGTGGCATTTTCCTGTATGAGGTTTTGGACTTGCTCGATGAGGTTTTCCATAGCTTGAGACTGGTTCCTCGTGGTCATGTCGCTCCGTGTCATAGAGAAAAAAAAAAAAATTTTGGGTCCTTGTTGCTTTCCGGCCGGTATGTTTTCGAGAAGGATTAGAGTGTTAGTGTGTGAAGTATTATATCAGGGAGAAAGCTCTGGGAGATGGCTGGCTACAAGTACTGTATGGCATTGATGGCTATTCTAATCCTTGAGGAAGGGAAAGGAGGTTGTTGGCCACTGAGTGGCGATATTGCTATTTACAGGATGAGCATCATCATGTGACCCCCGATCACGTAAAGTCCTTCCAGCTACCGCACTAGTTAATTCGTATAAGAAGGGCTGCAAAGCTTAAAAGCTTTGAACAGCTCAAGCAACCTTTGAATCACATTTGATAGCATGTTTAAACCGAAGGGAGCATACACTCCTGAGGGCGTGATAATTCCGCCTACGACGTGAATTGTAGTTATCATGCCAGCGTGGTCATCTCTACACTGTAGAGCTCGATCGTACGAATGAGCGGTGAAGTCGGAATGCTTCCGATTGCAACATCAGTAGCAGATAACTCACCACTATATGTGAGGTGAGCCGAGGGCATAGGAAGGCGGTGTAGAGGTGGACAATGGTTCAAAAAACCACCCTACTCATAAGCCTAAGAAGGAGTCAGCCAGTCATACAATCAAGAAGATACCAACAAGAAATCACTTACAAACAGTATTTTTAAGATATAGAGAAAAGCATACGACTGATGATAACCATCATGGATATCTTCAACCAACACCCATCCCTTGTACCCGAACTGAATGAAATGCAACTGGTTCCTGAAGGCTTACAAGAAGCAGTATGTAGAGTGGCAGCTCTTGCACCTGAGAATGACAAACTTCTCATCCGCAACACCTTGTTGAAGAAGATATTGACAATGTGTAACCTTTATCAAACAGAGCTTGAAGTGCAGAAGAAATGTCAACATGTGAAAGCTGCTCAGCAATAAATAGTGAATGCTGTGAACTTTGCAGATAGTTTAGCAAATGTTAAAAACAAGTAAGACACTTAAGTGGCTAATCTGTGCTGAGAACTGGAGTGCATACATTTCAAAACTGAACATTCAGCAACACTTGAGATCTCATTGCATAGCTTAACCAACTCTCCAAATATCAATACCCATCTAACGACCCTGATCCAGCGTACGCAGCACGGACGGTGTTCCTTGAGAATACACTATTAATCACAGAATATATCAAACCAGGAGATCTATCTAACCCACCACACTTTGATGATGAGTGTAAGAACGACACTGCTCTTAACTGATTGAATCAGATGCATTCACACTACTGTATGGAATGTGAGCTCACAGAACAGCAACTCACTGAATTACAATAGATCTTGTGTGCAGCATTTATTTTCAGAGAAAAAGCTAGATCCCTCTGAATGATAGCTGAGAAGTTGAATGTGGAAGTATTTGACAAATATGAGTTATCATGAAAATGAGATGATTTTGCAAGATGGATCCTGCATAACTTTGAGAAATTAGATGTCAAAGACAAATGTTATGAATGCTTTGTATTATTATTATTATTCTTCCATTATAGATGTATGCAGTCAGTGACTATGACATCTACCTGAAATACTCTAGGATTTTTCAACTTAAGAATAAGCTAATATACAAAGTCAATTTAATATATGCAATAGCAGAATTCTAGCCCAGAATTAAACAACTATTCAAACTATTTAATTTAAGAAAGAGTGTCAAAAGAATAACAACAGATCAATACATTTAATTTAAAACAAATGAAATAAAGAGTATAAAAAACAGCAGCTATTTAAAGAACAGAAAGCATTCACAAATCAAACTTTTCAAAATAAGTCAAAATCAAAAATAATCAAAATGAAATAAATTTCAAAGTAAAAATAACGAAATAAAAATAAAAATAAAAACAAAAATTAAAGCAAATACGTAGAAACAAAAGAAAAAAAAGAAAAACAAAAATTGAATTGATTATCAGATCAAGTTATTCAATTGAAATCTTGTAACAATATTTGATTTTTTCAAATATTTAATTAAGAATTCATTTTCAGTTTTTGTATTGAATAAAAGTTTTAAATTTAACTGTCTCAATTCAAACTTCTCTCTCAATCTCAATCTTAACTCTATATGCTTTGTACAAAGTAAAAGATGCTCCGGATTTTCAATCTGAATATAAGTCACTTAAATCATTTCTAATCTTTGTTAAATATGATTTAAAATAACCATGTCCAAGCTTTAGCTGCATTATTGTAGCAAAAAGTTTCTTTTTACATTTTATTGAGCAAACTTTTCATTTTGACTTAGTTTCAAACCTGGAATAATGTACACTCTTTTTTTGTAAAAACCAGATATCTTGCCATTTTTGCAAACATAATTCTCTTATTTTTCTCTTAATAAAAGCTCATGTTACAATTTTTAAAAAACAGACTTCCAATTCAGTTGCTTTTTTTGCAGCTTCATCAGCCATTTCATTGCCATATATACCCATGTGAGCAGGCACCCAGTGAAGATGAATAGAATAATTGAATGAAATTTTTCTTTGAATGTTTTGAAAACTTTTCAAAATCAGCGCTAGCATTGACTGTCCACTTTTGATTTTATTACTTTGAAGTCTTTTAAACTCAGCTTGACTATCAGAGAATATTCAAATATGCTCAAATCTTTTCCATTATTCAATCTTCATCTCAACCAATTTGAAAGCTCTTGAAATTGCAAATAATTCAGCATTAAAAACTTCTGACTCTTTTCCAATTTGCCAAGAAACAAGAATATAGTTTTTATCATTTTCTAAATATGCTATTCCAGCTCCAAGATTATCTGTTTTCTCACACTTTGAATCATCAGTGTATATAAGAATTGCTTTATTTCTCATTTGTTTTAGAAGATTTAGATGTTGTTCAGTCTGAACTTCTTTTGAAAGTCGACTAATATTTAAATCAATAAGACTGACAAGATCTTTCTTCCAAGGAGAGAGATTTTCAAAGACCACTTTCTCCACATTTAAACTAGAGAAACTGTTTTTAATCATGGAGCAAATTCTAAATAACTGAGATGGTATCTTCTTTCTTTGCACAGATGTTGAATTATCAGATGAATTTATTTCATTCCAATCAAAATATGACTTCCAATTCAAATCTACTCCAATTGATTCACTTGGAAAAAAAACTTGAGACTTTTTTTTTTAATTGAATGATTGGGATATAACTTCATAATTCTGAAAACATAATTCATACAGATTTTATCAAATCGCACTTGTGATGGTAATAGAGAGGCTTCAATCTCCATGGCTTTAATTGAAGAGGTTTTAACTACCCCTAATATTTTTCTTAAAGCTGAATTTTGAAGCTTTTGAAACCTCTCTACAAAAACTCTTTTGATTTTTCCACCATACTTGAACTGCAAAGTCTGAAACAGAGGTTATACAAGCAATATGTAATTGTCTCATTGCTTGAAAAGACAAGCCTCTTTCAGTACTTGAAAGTCTTAAAAAAAATACTGTTTAAGATTCTTTCAGCACTTGCAACTTTGATCTGAACATGAGATTTAAATTTTAACTGAGAATCTAACCAGACACCAAGCCATCTAACTAAATTTTTTGGTTTAACTGAATGATTTAAAAGCTTAACTTCAGTATCTCTTTCTCTGAAATTTGGATAAAATTCAGTTTTATCCATATCAAAAATGATGTTTTTTGATTTTGCTTTTTCAATCATTTCAGTTGCTGCTTGCTCAATCAAATTGCAATTATTTACAATTGATTCTGAGCTTACAACTAGACCCAAATCATCCACATAGCTTGGAGTTCTCACCATAATTGCCATTTGTCTATCAATAAACAGAAACTTGATAAATATAGCAAATAAAATGGGTGAGACTGGGGAACCCTGAGGAACTCCTATCTCAATATCTGTTATATGTTGTCTCATTCCATCAAAAAGCAACTGAATAGTTCTTTTTGACATGAAATAGACAACGCACTTAATGAGAGACTTTGGCATTCTCAGTTCTATCAAAGTTTTAATCATTTAAGAAAGTGAAACACAATCAAATGCACCTTTTATATCAATAAACATTGCAGTTGTAATCATTTTTTCATTCTTTGCAAGTTGAATATCATGAACTACAGAGAAAACTGCATCAATTGCTGAGTTTTGCTTTCTACTTCCCATCTGATCATCATATAATAAATCAGTAGTAGTAGATAGAAAAGACAGTCTAGTTGCAATTATTTTTTCCAAAAATTTTCCCAGACAATTCAGCAGCGATATCGCTCTATAAGATTTAGGAATAGTTGGTTTTCTATTGGGTTTTGACAGAATAACTCCAACAGCATGCCTCCAGCACTTAGAATGATACCCATATTTCAAAAGATTTGAGAACAATTCAAAGAGCTCATCTTTTAGTACTGAATAAAGCTCTTGAATTATTAAATGATTTATACTATCAGCTCCTGCTGCTGTGACCTTTGAAGATGAAAAAATAGCTGTCTTTAATTCATCTTCAGTTAAGTCAGGCCATTCCCATTTCTTATCATGTTCATATTCATTATCTTCTTGAAAAGAATAAACCTCAGTTGAATTATTTGATGATGGAAACAATATTCTCGTAAAAGCTTGACATTTATCTTCAAATGAGCTAGCTATAATTTCCTCGTTCTGAAAATTATAAATTAATGTTGGTAGCTTAGACATTGTTTTTGACTTTGTATATCTGAAAGCTTTGAAAATCTCTTTTCCCCTGAGCATTTTCTAGAAAGTTATTCCAACAATCAGTTTTTGCTTTTTTAATTGTGGAGAAATAATCATTTCTAATATTCTTTAAATACTCAAATGAGGCAAGATCTTCTTTCCAATCTCTTTTAACTCTAGCTAAATGTCTTCTTTTATTTGAAATCTCATCATTCCACCAAGGCTTAGAGAATTCAGAGACTCTTTTCAATGGAATTTAACTTTTTACACTTGAAAAAATAATCTCAGTGATTAAGTTTGCTCTTTCTTCAAGCATTTTGTCTGTAAGATTTGTATCTGATTCCCAATAAAGAATTTCTTTATTCTCTAATTTCAACTTTTCAATCATTTTTTTCACTTCTGTCCACTGAGCTTTTTCAAAATTGTATTGATTTGAATATAATAGGTTTTGAACTGTTTGATTACTATCCAATTCCATATCAACTTGAATTATCTCATGTCCAGTGGCAGCACCATTTATTTCATTTGAGTCAACTACGTGGCTATTCCACGCAGCATGCACCTTAAGCTAGTTACGTATTATAACCCCTATAACCAACCGACCACCGCGTCCGTCCTCTCGGGCCGCTTTAACTAGTTCTGGCTCGTCCAGCTGGGGGTCCTAGTTAAGCGCCACCGCCCACTCTAGGCATCACCATAGCCTAGGGCTTCCGGTTGCTGATCTCAGCCCATTGCCCCCTTGGCCTTCCAACCAGCCGTCGTGGCCTTACCCCGTGTAAAGGACTAACTATAGGCTTACCCCACCCAATGTTTTACCCACTAATAGTGTTAGAGACCACTAGTAGGCCTTGGAGATAGGGCGCCTACCAGGGTGTCCTGTTTGGTTTGCTACTACCTCTCTGATGAGGCAACCAATCGGATGGTTTTTAAAATCATTCCCTGTTGTTGGGGTGGCCCCCTAAGTGCCGGGGGCCTTGGCAGGTGCTAGCATGTATAAGCACCCTATACTCGACCCTCTGTAATCATCGGATCTTGCTTAGCTTAGCACTAATGACAGGGGAGATGCTTGGCACTAATGAGAGCGGCTTCCGGCGGCCACCACCCTCATCACTGCCAAGCAGCATCCCTGTCAGCACTGCCTCACTAAGCTTGGCCCCTGGTCACGGGGGCCTTCATGGGTAAAAAGTGGCCCAAAATGGGACCTTGCCAGCGGCAAGATTCGAACCTACAGCACATCTAACAGTGCTACCTTGGGTAACAGTCTTACCAACTGCGCCACGCGGGCATGAATGCTTTGTAGAATGCAAGCAAGAAGAAGACCTTGCATCATACTACATTCATTTCAGCTTGCATTATCTTGCAATGAATCAAGAGCTCTTAACATTTTTCTGTCTACAAACCTCCATACACAGCTTGGAGACTGATCTATACACTGAGTGAAAGTGTCTTAACCCATGATCACAGATGATGGAGGAAACGTATGAAACATTATTCTCAAAAGAACAAGCAAGCAAGCTGTGAAAGCAAGCAGTGAAGATGTAAATGAATGCAAGAAGACTCACATCTATATTTATCACATCATCATCAAGACACTCAGATGCAATGGATATTGACTTCAATGCTATCATGAAGATCTTGAACCCTCTCAAAAAGAATTCGCCAGGGTGGGTAGTCTGATTTTGTGAACACAGAGCATGCTTTCACTGCAGTTGACAGAATCATAATGCAAGAGATTGTTGTAATCATTTGTAAAAGAAGAAGTCAAAAAATTAGAGGGATCAGTAGAACTGAAAACATTTACTGATTGATTATTAAAAATCTCTGAAATAGATAAGTTGCCTGCATTAGATAACCGTCTGAATTCTACAAGAGTTAAACAGAATGTAGATGAAGAGATGAATGTAGAAGAGAAAGCAGATAAACATCTGAATACTGTAGAATTGAATACATTAATGTATAAAGAATATCTGAAATGAAAAAGAAAAGTGGCAGTGAATGTGTTATTGAACACAGACACTTTGATGAAGTACATTGATGATCATATGTTAAAACAATTATCTGATATATGATGAGTGAAGAAATTTAAACAAGTAAAACTTCTGAATAATTAATATTTTATCTCATCTTTAAGGGTAAAGATGCTCTTACATTTTGAAAGATGGTCTTGCTGCATCTGAATGTGCATGCTTCTGAATGTAGAATACAATCTGATTTTGAGACTTGATTGATTTCAGAAGTAGGATCTCAGAATTCATTGATGCACATATCACATATAGTTGACAGATTGTAAGAATCAAATTCATATAATCTTACTCATAAATATGAGGTGCAGGTTCCACGCATCAAGGACAGAAGATTTGAATCTCATCACTCAACATTAAATGAAACAAACACTGTGTAAAACTTCAATTCAGAGCATTCTATATATCATAAAGAAATCTGAAGCAGAAGAACTGCTGCTCATGAAAGATTCAAAAAATAAAATTATTATGAAGATATTGTTTGAAAAGCATAAGAAAGTTTTTTGAATGAACCTTCTGTCTTCTCTGCTGTCTGAAAAAGAATTCATTCATGAGATTGATATGAGGGATGTGAAATCAATAAATTGTAATGTGTACTCTCTATCACAAACACACCTCAAGGAATTACAGTGGCAGATAAGGGAGTTGTTGAAGAGAGGCCTTATATAACCATTCTTCAGTGCATGAGGCTTCCCAGTTCTATTTGTTAAAAAGTCAAATGAAGAATGATATATGTGCATCAACTATCAGATGCTCAATAAACTCACCGTGAAGAATGGATATTCGCTACCACAAATCCAACAACAATTAGATATGGTAGAAAATGCCTGATACTTAACAAAGATTGATCTACTTGCAGAATACTAACAGATTCGCGTAGATGAACTGTCAGTGCTCAAAATAACATTTAACATATAATGGGGAAAGTTTGAATTTCTTGTAATATCTATAAGGCTTACAAACACCCCTGCAATCTTTCAAACAATAATGAATACAATCCTTGCAAAGCAGAACGGCTAATCGTGTTTTATATACTTTAATAATATTTTAATCTTTTCAAACTTATACAAAGAGCATCTACAAAATGTGGATCAGATGCTCACAACTCTGACAGAGCACAAGTGCTCTGCTTTGTTTTCCTCTCGTCTGCCCTTGTCTCTATCGGCTCAAATGCTTCTTCTTCCTTCTTTTCTTTGCTCTCTCTGTCATTCTCTGCTCTTTTCCTGTCACAACCTTCTTCAGTGCTCTCTCCTTCATTATTTATCTTGTCTGTCTTTCTTCTGATGTTAGAAGCACAGACAGCTTTCTGATCAACTGAGAGAGGTATCCCTCTCTGCTCACTATAAAGCCTTCCAGGCACGGCAGCGGCGGTCCCCTCAGGGAACCACACTATAGCCCCACCATGAATGGCCATACGTCGGGCCAGAAGTGGATGCGCAGCTCAGAAAAATCCTTTGCAATGAGCTGAGTCTTCTCAAGAGTTGCCACCTGGATTCTGTTTTCTCTCTCTGTGTATATAGAAATCTCTCCAGCGTAGCACGTCTCCATGCCCTTCGGGAGGCTTCTGAAACACGGGCGCTGCCCGTGTTTTCTCCGGGACGTTAAACCTATACATACATACATACATACAGTGATCATCACAATCTTCTTCCATTCCTCACCACCAAGATTCTGACACACTGACAAGTGAGATGGGCACAACATTTGAGTGAGTTAAATATAAAAATCTTGCATAAACAGGGCTCCAAAAACCCTACTGATGAGCTCTTGAGACAACTGAACTACAAACTGAATCCAGCTGAACTGATAAAACTTTATAATGAATTTTACTGATTCATACAACTCACAATCTACTATGAACAAACCTCTGTCATATTACATAACCACAGAGTAGCAGCTATAAACACTGCTAAAATACTTTCCATCAATGCAACAGAGGTCAATCAAGACCTAATTCAGCAAATCAAGCATACACTATCACAGAAGTTGAAGTCTCTCATATCAGACAATAACAGAAATCGCTTTAAGAATTGAATGATACAGAATAAACTCCTCTTTTATCAAAACAAAATATATGTTTCTGAAAATGCAACAATCAGAAATCAGATTTTTCTGAAGTTCCATAACTCATTCACTGCAGAACATTTCAATGCAAAAAAATTTATCAATTTATATAAAAATAGTTCTACTGACTGATGATGAGGAAGGATATCAACATATATACCAGCACATTCAAAGCCTGTCATAAAGTCAAACTCATCACACATCACACTTACAGGGAACTCACCCCCATCCCAGTATCAGATAGAAACTGACACATAATAACAATTGACTTCATCACAAATCTTCCACAGTCAAAATGTTCAGCCACAGATCAGATAGTTGACGCCATATCAGTATTCTGCTGCAAACAATTCAAAAAACCACACTATATCCCAACTGTAACTAATTTGCTACCATAAACATTTACACATATCTTTATAGCAAATATAGTACGACTACATGGGATTCCAGCAGCAATAATATCAGATAAAAACCACTTATTTACCTCTGACTTCTAGAGAATATTAATCAAAACCAACAAGTAAATCATCAACTCTCAACAGCTTACCACTCACAGACAGATGATCAGACAGAATGACAAAATAGAAAAATGAAGGTTTATTTATGATTATACACTGACTATCTACAAGATGATTGAGCAGATCTTTTACTCTGAGCAGAATTCATCTACAGTTCATTAATACACTTTGCTTTGAAAATATCCGCATTTCTCATGAACTTAGACTACAAACCCTTGCCACCTACAACCTCAAATATACCTATAGATGTTATAAATGAACCCTACACAGAACACACCGCAATTCTAACACAAGAGATACAAGACATAACACAATAAAAACTCATATACACTCAGAATCTGATGAAAAAGTATGCAAATGACAACTTTCAAGATTTTGAAGTGGGAGATCATGTATATTTGAGTATAATGAATCTCAAAACATGCAAATCAAATAAGAAGCTAAATCACAAGTTTTTAAAATCATTCAACATATATATAAAAATTGACATTCAGACATATCAGCTAGACCTTTCACTGAGCTATCAGATTCACAATGTATTTTATACCTCTCTTCTCAAACAACACAAAAAAAGGGACAATAACCCGCTACAGAACACCCACATACCATCAGATGAACAGATAACAGACAATGACTGAAAAATAAATGAAATTTTAGATTCCCACATCATAAAAGAAGCGCTCAAATACAGAGTCAGATGATGATACAAAAGACCTGAATTTGATGAATGAATGCGCCCAATCCAACTAATAAATGCAGACCTATTCATAGATCAATATCATCACTGCTACTCAGCACATCTCAGATCAACAGAGAGAGATCTATAGCAATCATCTATACAAACAGCCACAGACACACAATCAGAAATGCTATCACTCTTTCAAATCACAATTGAACAGCTGACAGAATACACAGACAGAAACCAACCTTGTCAATTTATCATAGACAACAACTTTTAGACAATCTTCAGAAGATGTTCAAATAAACAACAATGATAATGATAATGATCAGAATGAACACATCAATGATGAGACTATGAATTAATACAAATAACACTTTCAGATGATATATAAAAAAAAAAAAAAAAAAAAATTTATAAAAAAAGAAAGATATGTTTCACATCTATTACTGAGCATGTATTTTATATGTTACTGCTGTTTTCAAGCTTCTACTGCAACATCAAATCTGAACTGAGGCAGGGCTACCGCCAGCTGAGGGTTGGGGCAGGTGTTTTCGCCAGCAACACAAGCTAGGGCAGGCACATATTGATACCGCCAGCAAGACAAGAAGCGACAGTCAACAATGCTGCTATAAAGCAGGCCACAATGCCGCTATGAGGCAGGCCACCATGCTGCCAACCGACAAAAAAAGGGGAGGAGGGATGAAGGGGTAGAGTCAGAGTGAAAGGACTTCATGTAATTGGGGGTCACATGATGATGCTCATTTTGTAAATAGCAATATCGCCACTTAGTGGCCAACAACCTCCTTTCCCTTCCTCAAAGATTAGAATAGCCATCAATGCCATACAGTACTTGCAGCCAGCCATCTCCTAGAGCTTTCTCCCTGGTATAATACTTCGCACACTAACACTAGCGTACGCCATCCTTGATAATAGAGGGTGGCGTACGCCACGGAAAAATAATAAACCGAAATTACTACACAGTGAATGTGTCTGATTGAAATCTATCTCCTTATATTATTCTCAAGAGCAACAATATTTAAGAAAGCTGGTTTAATGAGCTCTCAAATGGCTGAAGACTTGATATTAATTTTAATGACTGAATTACAAATGAGATTGAGTTTCAATGGCTTATAAAATTGTTTATATCAATTGTGAGTATATGAAGAAGAAGCAATCATTTTTTATTTATTCTGAATGATCATGAAAGCTATTTTACATCTGAATTTGATTGATTTTATACAGAGAACAATATAATTCCTCTCTGTATATCACCTCATTTATAACATCTCTTGCAATCTTTTAATGTAAGTGTTTTTGCTGTTCTAAAGCATTCATATGAAGGTCTGATTGAACAGTAAATATGATTTGACTTTAATACTATACAGAAAGCAGATTTCTTAGGTGCATATTCTACAGTAAAGAAGAAAGCTTTGACATTTCAAATATTCAAAGTGGCTTTATTGCAACTGATATCAACTCATACAATTCTGATTGAGTTATTCAGAAGCTTAATATTCAGCTCTGTATATTTACATTTTCAGAAAGCTGATTCAGCAACTTCCAATCATTCTGAATTTTTCAAACATCTAAGAATTCCCATCAACTGCAACAGCAGGCAAGCAAAGTCAAATCTCTTCTTGAGCAAGACTGTATGAACCTCACTGAGGCATTTCAGAAAGGATTTGACCAGATTCTTAAGATCTGTGAATATGAGATGATTACTGCTTCAGTTATGAAGAAGCAATACCAGAATATATTTGCTTTAAATGAGAAGGAGAAGCAAAAATGTACAAGATCTAGAAGACTAATTCAACATGAAGAAGGTCTTACAAGAGAAGAAGCTCAAAATTTTATTTCTCCCTCTAATCCATCTGTTGAGAGTATAGCTATTCAGTCATACAAACCTGAAGCTCCTGCTTCACGACCACGATTACGAGCCCCACAGAGATGTAGTAACTGTGGCACTATTGGACATACAAGAATAAGATGTCCTAATCCTAGTATCGTATAGTTTTTAATAAATTTTCTTTTTATTGTTGTTAATAATTGCAATTAAAATTGAATACTCTCTATACAATAAATTTAGTGTCTCGCTCGGTTGGGAATTACGTTAACGTTATTGGGGGTGCTTATCTTATCGGCCCTACCCAAAAAAGCTTAGCGTATCTCATCCAACCCACATGCAATTCTATGTAGCGAGAAGAAGCCCAAAAAAAAACAACCCACACTCACATTGATATCAACCATATACACCCCCGTACCCTGTACTGCTGTTGAATGCTCCTCGCTGCACTCGAAGTCTTCTCATCGAGAACCCGCAACACAGACAAGAGCTCTTGCTACCATCAGCCGTTTTCAGGAGGCCATGGCGCCTTCAAAGTGGGGTATGTACCTAAATTTAGGAGAGAGGAGGGGAGGTTTGTCAAACATGGCAGGGCGCTATTTTATATTTCTTTCTATCTTAGATTTGTGTCTTCTAGCAAATGGCGGTCAAGGGATTCAAGTTGTTAATGCCATGCAGTTTAGTTCGCTTAGATATTGTATCAATATATGCAGGTTCTCGGAGCTAACGTATGAATGGTCTTTTTGACATAACCTACAGACGATGAAGAGGAGAGTACACCCCCCTCCTCCCCTCCTCTTGTTTCAACAACGACACAGAGACGCAAGTTCGATGACGAGGAGGATAGCGATGATGTATGGCGCCTCCTCCACATAGACCCCCGTTGCACCAACCATCCATCCATCCATTACCTGTTTTAATTCTTTGCTTCTTGGGGAAATGTGTAGGTAGTCGACGACTGGGAAGCCGCCGAAGACTCCGAAGTCGAGCGCGAAAAGGCAGCCAAAGCCGCCGCAGCGAAAGCAAAAGCCGAAGCCGAAGCGGCCGCGAACAAGAAATCAAAAACCCAACGGATACAAGAGCGCAAGGAGCAACGGCGGCACCAACAACTATCCAGCGAAGACGACGACGACGATGATGATGACGAAGACGAGGCCGCCGTGCGCGCACGTCTCCGGCGCACAGAGAAGGACGCAGACCTCTCCCACGCTCAGGACCTCATCGGCGACATCGACCTGAACCGCACCCGCTCCACCATTCCGAAAGCCGCCGTCGTCATCGGCGACAAATCCGACCCGACCAAATCTATAGACCTCTCCGCCATCCCCCTCTTCAAGCCGGGGACCAAGACGCAGTTCGCAGAGCTGACCAACGCGCTGATCCCGCTGCTGACAGCCCAGTCGAAGAAGCCGCAGTATGCCATGTGGGCTCAGGATTTCGCGAAGAAGCTCGTCAAGGAGTTGCCGAGCGGGGATATCAAGAAGATAGCGAGCGCGTTGACGGCCGTAGGGAATGAGAAGCTGAAGGAGGAGAAGGCGGCGGATAAAGGGGGGAAGAAGAGCAAGGCGGCCAAGACGAAGACGAGCGTTGTGGTTGGGAGGGATGTTGCGGGCGCGCGCGGCGCTGATCTCACGGCGTATGATGGTGATGATTTGGGTGATGATGACTTTATGTGATTTCTCTCTCCCCCTTCCCTCCTCTCCCTCCCGTTCCCCTCCTTTTTTTTTCTTCATTCAGGTCGTTTTCATATCTATATTCCGAGAGGTGATTGATGGATGATATTGTTTCCCTCTCACTTCTCCGCCCCTAGATTGCCTTTCAGTTCCCATTATGCCTCAAGTCGGTAGTAATTCCCTTCCCGCCCTCTTTTTCTTTTTTTCATTTGAAAATTTTTTTTCTTGTTTTATTTGCCTTTTCTTTTCTATCCGGTATTACACATTTTCTACAGGCCCAGACAACATCCTTCTCATTTTATTACAATTTTAGAGAACGTTTTACAAAATAAATCCCGCTTATCTACCCCCGCTGCCCCGTTTCAATGCTTCAGGGCCCCTTTCTTATTTGCTAATTTATACCTTTTCTACTCCCAAAAATGCTTCCTTCCCGTTCTTCAGAAATATCAATAATCAATAATCTTGTTATTCTCATCGTTGAAGTGTCCCCTTATTTTGCTTATTATCCCCTGCCTCCATACCAAGTCTAAATCCGAATCCAAAAACATAAAAGTAAAAATAAAAATAAAATAGAAAGTAAGTCTTGTTTGAGACTCGTTTTTTGAGATTTTTGGGCCGCCAATTGTAGGAAAAGAGAAGAAGGAGAACTTGGAAAGCAAAACACAATATAAAATAGATAGATATAACATGGATATATGCTTGGGACGAATTCTCCATATCCCAGACGGGCAGTTAGGGATGAGACAGCTACGGAAGACTGAATTGATCAAATAACTAGATTCTGTTTACTTGTGCATGAAAACTCCTATATAATTATACATAGGGATCTCGATCTATTGATGCTTGGAGGCCGATATATATATATATATATATGATAGTGTCTGAAGACCTTATACACTGGTTCCCGGACACATCAATATATATATCTTGAGAGGGAGAGAGAGGGGGGGAAATACTTTCACATATTCATCTACGTAATGCTGCCCAGTAAATAATGACCTCTGTCTCCAGCTAAACACGTACAGTACATATAGTATAAATACTAGTATATATACAGATTTTCAGACATACCAGTAATTATATAGAGATCTCTACGGTTTAGAGATGATGGAAGTGAGCCAAATTGCATTGTATGTACTGTACATTGTAACTTATCAACTTCGGTTTCATATTAAGTACTTGAATTTTCAATCTAAGATAGTTAACTCTGTAGAAGGAGATAGGTTGTTTCTCTCATTTACGCTAACTATCTAGTGGCAAACATGTAATTATATAGCAGACTTACAGTTAAATATAGAAGCGGGATAGTTGTCACCTCTTACTTTCATTTTTCTTTTCTCTGTCGCCAAAACAAACTTTCGTTTATGTTTACTAGTACTTAATGTGATGCACCCATGATGGTTGACATCTGGGACAAGGTAAATAATGAGGAGAGTCTTCAGTTTCTGATATCGATCCACAGGAGTGTCTGAGGAATCCCTCCGAGAGATGACCCTGAAACACCACCATCTGCTTGGGATTCGTTTCTATAACGAGCAACCAGTGCATAACTTGCAGATTTGATGAGCTATCATTATTCTACCTGACCTTCTGGATTTTCCTTGGAAGATGTTCAGTTTAGCTTTGTGGGAACGTTTCCACATCTCTCAAAATGGCTGTTGTAGATGATGCCCTACAACTTGCGGCCGACCAACAACGCTACGCTTCACCACTTCACTTCACTTCACTTCACTTCACTTCATCCCCTCTACATCTCGTCCTTGCTTCCACATCTGCCCTTTCTTTCTTCTCTGTGGAAACACAGATCAACAAGCAGAGTGTTTTGAGCTTTCAAGTACCTGTCTCATCAACGGCAAGATGTCTTCAGTTCCTGGCTCTAGAGGAAGAGCAGTAAACAGAAGCAGTGAAGATTGCTATGCTTCTCCCTTGTTGCCATCTCTCGAGTCCTCTTCACCTTCTCCAGGTCCCCCCCCCCCCCCCCCCTTCCCCTCCCAAAAGGCAGAAAAGGTCTTCCGGCTCCAGCTCAGATTCGGACGAATCGACAAACGGCATAAGGGTGGAAGATTTTCGCGTCGGAGGGCCATACCTCTGTGCCCCTCCAACCCTGAATTTCGCCCTATCTGAGCATCCAACCTTCAAGAAGTGGAAATCTGGACTTGAACAGGGCATAGTTGACTTGCTAAATCGCCACTCAATCCACCGGCAGACTCTGGATCTTGTAGATAGACGATCGGCAAGGTACGACGATGATGGAAAAACAGAAACAGTTATAGTTCCAGCAACCAGAGACATTCCAGATAGATCATGGCTGAATGCTTGCCTTGACATTCGCAACTTATTCCAACTGCACAATTTGCCAATCCTCAGTATTGAGATCACTGACCCACGAGCAAGTGTGGAAAGATACACCTTTCCTTTCCTGTCTTTGAGAATGACAAAATTTACTCCAAGTGGCGTGACTTATCTACATGTATTTGTGAACTTATTGGAATGGAAGGCTGGCTGGCTCTGGAGTGTTTTCGAAGAGGCACAAGTCCAGACCACCAAAACAATCCACCCACAATTGTTTTATCCGTCCCTCTGGATTCACCAAGAACATGGAAGGTAGAACGTGATCAGATTACTGCATTATTAGATGATGAGGGTCTTCAGGAGGTGGCTGTTGAAGTTGTACGAAGCTACATTTGGAAAACAACTGATATGGATGGACATCACAAGCATTGTCCTCCCGGATATTTAATGCTTGGTAGCAAAAAGCACAATTGGGGATGAGCATCAGCCCGCACGGCTCAGATTATAGTGGTTCTACATTTGATGGTTTCCTCCAGCTGTAGCATCCTAGTACTAAGCAGTGGAACACCTTTGGTTTAACATGCTACCATTGTGTTGACTCAGAGGAGGGGGGTAATGACTTCTCTAGATTGTCTAAAGGTGTGGGAATACCGACGAACCTACCCCTTTCTAATCCCCTCTTCACAAACATGCTTAATCATACACAAACCACCACTCCCCCCTCCATCCTCCCCCATGGAATGAGGTTGGACTCGGCGATGAGCTAACATATCAATAGATGTCAAAGAATGGAGGGAGACTGGCATGAGAGTTGACCAAGCAAAATCTGCCAATACTCTGATAGATCAGCCAGCGCTAAAGGATTATATGAAGAGAATGGAACTGATTAAGGAAGCAACAGAGAATTGGATGAAAATCCCCAGTACGAGAACGCATAGAAGCTGCTGTGTCAAACAATGAATTTAGTACTCCAACAGATGAAGCCCGGTATAAACGCTTCCAGGACAATATAAATCAGCTTCTCGCCATCAAACAACACAAAGCTGAGAAAATTTTTGTCACAGGAGATGCCCTCCTTGGGAGAGTTTTTGCTGATTCTGGGTACAGATTCACCCCCTGTCCCATGAGAAGACAGCTAGACTGGGCTCTAATTGAGGTTGTTACACCCCGTATTGGGAGTAATAATGTGAGTAATTCCTTTCTAACAAATAGTTATTTGCTAATTGAATTTTTGCTAACCTTTTTTTAGGTGCCGCCCACTGGATCATATAGAGATGGATTCGCGGACTTTTCAGGACAACTTATGGAGCAGCCCTCTGTAAATAGCCCTCCTCATGGCTCGGCTTTGTACAGTACATACAAAAAATTGGCCGGCGGACCAATTTCACCAGTGGAAGATATCAGGGATTGCACAGTGTGCACCTTGAGTCATGGAAAACTGACAAAACTGACAAGAAGGCAGTGACTGTGATGGAGGAAGCAGCAGTTACAGACAAGAATGGATTGCAGTTCTGTGCACAGGGAGACTCTGGATCATTTATATTTGACGTGGAGACGAAATTCGTAGGGCTTTTGTTTGCAGGGAACATGGAAACTGGGGTGGGATACTTTACCCCCGCAGCGATCTTGTTTGAAGATATCAAGGCGATGACTGGAGCGCTCGAAGTCCGTTTGCCTTTATCGTAAATTCTGGTTCTTCTTGCTCTTCTTTTTTCTCTTTTCTGTACGCTGCATATTAAAAGTGCCCTTGGATCACTTCTGTTGATGTCGTGATTGCGGGCGATGTAACTATTATTCCGTTTTACATCACATGCTCTTCGAAGGGTTCTAAGGCTACCTAGGTACGAAAACGCCTATTCAAAAAAAAAAAAAAAAAAAAAACTACGTGAAAAATTAAAACCATTCCCTGGTTGGAGGTGTGGAATTTGCTTTCTTTTTTTCTTTCTTTAGCCTAAAAAAGCACAAGGATGGCTATTGCTAATAGCCATCCCGGCTGGTTAAAACCGAGCGATTGATGTTGGAAATTTGGTGTGAGTTGCAACAGGCCAATGTCCACGCGTGGAGTCTGCTGGAACGGAAGGATGGGACAAGTTAGCACCGCAATGTAGGGCACGTCGGGCACATATCAACGCGGATGTAAGGCAGTTCGGGGGAAGACGAGGATTGCTGGGCTTGGGTTCTCCCATTCCATAGAACAGAAGTGCAAGTACCAGGCAATGGATGTAGATAATGGCGACGCGGGGATTTCCAGTCTACGAAAAGGGGCTGCGGCGAGGCTGAGAATGCATAGATAGGATCAGCGATACCAGTGGCCCAGGGGGGATCTCCCGTCGACGCAGCGCAGGACAGGGTGACCCTACACTATGGCAGGAAGCGAGAGACGGTGCATCGTGGATCAATACCAATATTATATCACGCTGATAGAGTTTGATATCCGTAACCGTGGCAGTGTCGGTCCTTAGCGAGTGAAGTCTGCAGCAGCCCAAGGCGGTGGCTTAGTCAGCATCCTCCATCTCCACAACCTCATCCGTCGTTCGTCTGTCTCAACAACGCCAAACTTCTGCCTCAGCCGCCGCCGTCTTGTTGTCTGCCCATCCTCCTCCCCATCTCCAGCCTTGCTCTCTGTCCCGCTGCTGACTGCCTCTCCCTCATCGCTCCGTTCTTCCGCTCCTGCACTCTGCTCTACGCACCTCGATCTCCCGTCGTTCCTCGTCGTTTCGCACCGTCTCCCACAATGACCTCAGAAGTAGGTTTACCCCTCCCTGTTAGGCGCGCATTCCACGGCGTGTCTCCCTCAACATGCCTCCTCTCCTCTCCCCTCCCCTCTCCCCTCTCCTCTCCCCTGTCTCTCTGCTGCTGGGATCCTATGCTAACTCCATTGTCTCCAACAGCGTGATAAGTAATTTGCCCTCCCTGCTGCTCGTGCGCTTTGGAATTGGGACTGAGGGGTGTGGTGGGGATCTCGTGCACTGACATCCTTTTTCCGTGTAGCAAGACGTTTCTTGCCAGGCTCTGTGAGCAGGCCGAACGTTACGATGGTAAGTACTCAGCTCCTTCTTCTCTTCGTAAGTGATGTCCCTGGCTTTCTTCTGACCGCGTCATACAGAGAAGGGTTACATATATGAAAGTTTGTCCTGCTCTCTCCCCCCTCGCTCACCTCTCTCTCCTGTGGAATCACCCTTGTAGCACACCGCTTCTGACGAGCATTACGTGGCGTCTTTGATTGTAGGAAGTTGCCAATGTAAGTACACCCTGTGTTGAAGTACCCTGTCTGCGCCTCTTATCTGTCCTTTTCGTCGATGCTAACCACCTCAATCAAACTAGTTGGGCGGTGAACTTACCGTTGATGAGCGCAACCTTCTTTCCGTTGCCTACAAAAACGTTGTTGGCACCCGCCGTGCTTCCTGGCGCATAATCTCCTCCATCGAGCAGAAAGAGGACTCGAAGGGCTCTGAGAAACATGTTGCTATCATCAGCCAGTACCGCCAGAAGATCGAGGCTGAACTCGAGCGCGTCTGCCAGGATGTCCTTGATGTTCTGGATCAATCCTTGATCCCCAAAGCCGAATCCGGTGAATCCAAGGTGTTCTATCATAAGATGTACGTGTTTTTCTTTTCTTTTCCTCTCTTAGATACAGGGTGTTGCCACTTTGCATTTCGCGACGGGCCGCGCGAACAGGTATTTGAGGGAGGCATTTTTATACTAATACGGCAACACACAATCTACAGGAAAGGTGATTACCACCGTTACCTCGCCGAGTTCGCTTCCGGTAACAAGCGCAAGGTTGCTGCGACTGCTGCCCACGAGGCTTACAAGGTACACGCGCTCCTTCCGCCGGGAAAAAAAAAAAAAAAGAAAGAAAAATCAATTCAACTAAAAACTGAAACTGTGCATTGCAAAACGTGTCTAACCACATCCCTCCTCACTAGAACGCTACTGATGTTGCCCAAACCGAGCTGACGCCCACCCACCCCATCCGTCTGGGCCTTGCCCTCAACTTCTCCGTGTTCTACTATGAGATCCTCAACTCTCCAGACCGTGCCTGCCATCTGGCCAAACAGGCGTTCGATGATGCTATTGCTGAACTCGACTCCCTATCAGAGGAGTCGTACCGTGACAGTACTCTGATCATGCAGTTGCTCCGTGACAACTTGACTCTGTGGACCTCGTCTGACGGTGCTGAGCCCGAGACCACGCAACCTAGTGAGCCCAAGGACGATAAACTAGCTGAGGCTTCCGAGGGCGCCGAAGGTGCTGCTGAAGGTGCTGCTGATGCGCCTGCAGCAGAGGAGCCGAAGAAGGAGGAGGAGGCTGCTGCTGGCCCCTCTTGAAGTTGACAAGACAAATCCCGCTACCTTTCCCCTTACAGTTTGCGCCAAACAAAGCCATACTGCAGGTGACGTGGTAGGTATATCGGAATGTCCTGTTAAACACACAAAAATAAAACAAAAACCAAAGTATCCACAGTTGTCCCAAAAGAGCAAGTAAAAAGAAAAAAAAAAGTTAAAAAACAAAAGCAAAAGAAAAAAATAAAAACACAAGGCGAGGAAGAAAGAAGGCAAGGGAGATGTTATGTTTCTTTTTGTTTTCGATGAAAGGGATCGAGTCGATTTTATGGCGTGGGCGTGGGCGTGGGCTGGGTATGTATGTGTGTGTATATGTGTGTGTGTGCGTGCATGTTTCGCAACCAAACTCCAGGCCTCTCTCTCCTTGCCTTCAAAGAGACAAGAGACAAGGCGGACGCCCTTGTAGGTACTCTCAAGGGGGGTGGGTGATGTTATCCATCTTTAGTTTTGACCAGGCGGCGTTTGCTACAGTTTGAATTGGAGATTTGCGAAGGGGAGGAATGGGGAAAGAATGGGAGGGGGAAACGATGATAATCAAATTAAAAAGAAGAAAGACAAAAAAGAGAAGAGGCTGATAATGGAAAACCTGGGGAATATTTTTTTTCTTTATTTTTCTCTATTTTTCTTTTCTTTTCTTTGTTTCCTTCCATGTTTTGCTGTCTTTAATAATCAAGCAATCAACAATATCCCCCCTGTTCTCCTGTTCATTACCTACTATTCCCTGCGTCGTGCAGCCCGCTCGTCCCAGCAGAGAATCGGCTCCCCAGTGTTTGATCTTGGTTGTGGAGAGGAATCAGGAAAGAGGAAGAAGAGGAAGAAGCATGTTCCCAGTCTGTGCCTCACTTTGATTATTCTTCTCTTTTAACCTTTCATCTCCAACCCCGCGGCCCCTTCTCCCCCAGTTTTCTCCCAATTTTCTTTTAAAAACACAGCTCGCTCCTCTGCCATCACTCTGCCCGCTCCATCTCTACGTCTTGGACCTCGCCTTGTTTGAACACCTTTGCCCTGCCCCCTGTCCCTGCAGGTCCTTCCCCCCAACCCTTCCCCCAATATCCCCGACTACATCCACTCTGGTCAGGAAAGTCACCGCCTGGTGTCCTGGCAGCATTGCCAGCTCTCCCCCGTTGTGTTTCTTGTGTGCTCTAATGTCTTATCTGTTCCCCCTGTCCTGCCCTCGATTAGTTTGTAGCTCGGCTCAGCTCCGCTTAGCTATCTCATCCCGTATTATTATTTTTTTTTTTTTTATTTTAGCCAGGTTAGCTTTATTATATCCTCCCCTATATTCTCTTTTCACTTTCTCATTTGTCTTTTCTCTGTCCCCTTCTCCTCTTTCTTCTCTTTTGTTGAGAGTTGAGTTTGTTGGCCCAGACCGATGTTTGGTCCCCTTGGCTCTTGTTCTCTGAGATACACAGTAACTACAGTAGACACATTCCTCCTCCCTATTCCTCGTCCCCGGTGTTCCCTGCTTGTCCTTTCCCTCCTCTATCCTGCACTAGGTGCTGACAAAGCAGGGTCTCGGCGCCCAGACCTTCCACCGTATTCCAGAAGCCTTGGCAAGACGAGAAAAGAACACGTTGAGGCTTTTGGCGGCGGCCAATCAGCGGCCAATCAGCAATCAACGTGCGATCCGGGAGATGGAGATGGAGATGGAGAAACATACATAGATGTAGAGATATAGATGCAGTACGGAGTAGATGTGCTGGAATTGCACGAGGGTGTTGAGTAGCCATAGCCGTAGCCGGAGCTGGAGCTGCACCTTCTGCCAGCCATTGATTGATGGATCAGGGGATTCCCGCCAAATCCTCCTGTAACCGAATAAATAATATCCACGCTATATAAATTTCCTGGTATAAAACCTCCCCGCTCCGCCGTCTCCCTTCCTCGGCCTCCTCACCCTCCTTGCCCTCCTCGCCCCCATCGTCGTCTCTCTCGCGCGGACCCCAATCCCGCGGCTGCTAGTTAGTTGACTACCCGCCAACCGTGGTTCTTTCTCCCGGCGGCGACACCCTGACCGACGACAACTGACGGGCCCATCAGATCGTCTTCAGTGACAGCGACAGCGAGAACGGACCCTCCGCTTTCTTACCAAGCACAACTCGTTTACCCTGTGTTTGTGTGTTTTCCACCCCCCCACTGTGCTTGTGTTTTTACGCCGTTGCCCTTGCTGCTGTCGGAGAGAAAATTCGCGGTCTTTCTTCCCGCCACAACCTCCCCCCCCCCCCCCCTTGGCATTGAACCACCGGCGCAAATCCACAGAAACGCACAGGACAAGATCACCGAGCTCGCGCTCAGTTTTTGTTTTTGTTTTTTTCTTGTCTGTGCTTGCGCCTGTGCTTGCGCGAAGAGGAACAAAGAAAGGACAGACGGAGCAGACGGAGCCAGGCAAAAGAGGCGGGAGTATTGATATTCTGAAGATCCGTATCCGTACTCGTATACGACAGTTATTACAGATTGGCGAGGGCGAGGGCGAGGGACTGGGACTGTGGGATTGCTTTGGGAAATTAGGAGATTAGGAGATTTGGAGATTAGGAGATTTGGAGACTTGGAGACTTGGGAGACTTGGGAAACCTGTGGGACATAATATCTATATACCGTGAAGGGAGAAAGAGAAGGACCCTAAGAAACATATACAAAAGAAGATCAATACGTCGATGGAACGCTCGTATCTCTTCTCAGCGGATCATGTCCTCTCCCACTTCAACGTCACGGAGCAGGCAGGCTTGTCGAGCCAGCAGGTCGTGACGGCGAGGGAGGCGTATGGGAGGAATGGTACGTCTGGTTCTTTATCTTTTCCCCTTTTCTTTTCATTTGACTCTCCTTCTTCTTCTTCTTCTTCTTCTTCTTCTTCTTCTTCTTCTTCTTCTCTTTATTAAGAGCTGGCATGATATGATTTGTGGGGGCTAATGTGTTGATCGAGTAAACAGCTCTCCTTGAAGAGCCGCCAACGCCCCTGTGGAAACTCGTGCTGGCCCAGTTTGAAGATCAGCTTGTCGTGATACTGCTGGGGTCTGCGGTCGTGTCGTTTGTACTGGCGCTGTTTGAGGGCGGGAATGACTGGACCGCCTTTGTGGATCCGCTGGTGGTATGTTTTGCTTTCTCTCCTCTCCCTTTCTATTCCGATCTATATCTGTGTATGTTCCTTCTCTTCGCTAGACTACGTTTATTTTTACTTTGCTTTGCTTGCGTAGGTTGTATACAATGGCTGACCCTTGAATCAAAATTGCTTGTGAAAAATTTATTACTATAGATCCTCACCATCCTGGTCCTCAACGCCATCGTCGCGGTCTCGCAGGAAAGCAGTGCCGAAAAGGCCATCGCTGCCCTCCAAGAATACTCCGCAAATGAGGCAAAGGTCATCCGCGACGGACAGGTGCAGCGCGTCAAGGCAGAGGAGCTGGTCCCCGGTGACATCGTGTCTGTTGCGGTGGGCGATCGCATCCCCGCCGACTGCCGTCTGCTCTCCATCCACAGCAACAGCTTCCGCGTCGACCAGGCCATCCTGACCGGGGAAAGCGAGAGTGTCTCGAAAAGCACCAGGGTCATCCAGGATGTGGCCGCCGTGAAGCAGGATCAAGTCAATATGCTCTTCTCCGGCACGACGGTGGTCATGGGTCACGCAACTGCCGTTGTCGCGCTGACGGGCTCCGCGACGGCGATTGGCGATATCCACGAGAGCATCACGGCGCAGATATCCGAGCCGACGCCGCTGAAGCAGAAGCTGAATGACTTTGGCGATCTGTTGGCCAAGGTCATCACGGTGATCTGCGTGCTTGTGTGGCTTATCAATATCGAACATTTCAATGATCCGATGCACGGCAGTTGGGCCAAGGGTGCCATTTATTATTTGAAGATTGCCGTTTCACTGGGTGTTGCAGCTATTCCCGAGGGGTTGGCGGTGGTTATCACTACGTGTCTGGCCCTGGGGACGAGGAAGATGGCGGCCAAGAACGCCGTGGTTAGGTCATTGCCGTCCGTGGAGACTCTGGGGAGCTGCAGTGTGATCTGCTCCGATAAGACGGGCACGCTAACGACGAATCAGATGAGTGTGGAGAGGATTGTGTATCTCAATGAGGCCGGGAATGGGCTGGAGGAGATCAATGTTGAGGGCACCACGTTCGCGCCCCAAGGCAGTTTAAGCAAGAACGGCAAAGCGATGAGGGATTTGGCCGTCTCGTCCTCTACCGTTTTGCAGATGGCGGAGGTTCTGGCGCTCTGCAACGAGTCCTCGTTGTCCTACGATCAAAAGACGGGCGCATACTCCAGCATCGGCGAACCCACCGAAGGCGCCTTACGCGTGCTCGTTGAGAAGATCGGAACAGACTCCGAGGCAGTAAACAAGAAGATTAGACAACTTCCTCCCTCTGAGAGACTTCACATGGCCAGCAGGTACTACGAAAACAGCCTCCCTCTACAATGCAAATATGAATTCTCCCGCGACCGCAAGAGCATGTCCGTGCTCGCTGGTAACGGTGACCGACAGAAACTCCTCGTCAAGGGCGCCCCGGAGTCAATCCTGGAACGCTGCTCACACGCCGTCCTCGGCCCCAACGGCCACAAAGTGGCATTGACTAAGAAACAAACCCAGCTGATCTCCCAGGAAGTCGTGGACTACGGCAACCGCGGCCTCCGCGTCATCGCCCTCGCCTCGGTCGACCACGTTATTCCATCCCCGCTCTTCCGCACTGCGGAATCAACCAAAGATTACGCCCAGCTGGAACAGAACATGACCCTCATCGGTCTCGTCGGCATGCTTGATCCCCCGCGCCCGGAAGTCGCCGCCTCGATCCGCAAATGCCGCGAGGCTGGTATTCGCGTCGTCGTCATCACCGGCGACAACAGAAACACTGCCGAAGCCATCTGTCGCCAGATAGGCATCTTCGGCCCGCACGAGCAGAACCTCCAGGGCAGATCGTTCACGGGCAAGGAATTCGACGCCCTCAGCGACGCCGCCAAGATCGAAGCTGCCAAAAACGCCTCGCTTTTCTCGCGCACGGAGCCCTCGCATAAGTCCCAGCTGGTTGACATTCTGCAGGCACAGGGCCACGTCGTGGCCATGACGGGCGACGGCGTCAACGACGCGCCCGCGCTGAAGAAATCCGATATCGGCATCGCGATGGGCTCGGGCACGGACGTCGCCAAGCTCGCGGCCGACATGGTACTGGCCGACAATAACTTCGCCACCATCGAGATCGCCGTCGAGGAGGGCAGGTCCATTTACAACAACACTCAGCAGTTCATCCGCTACCTCATCTCCTCGAATATCGGGGAGGTGGTGTCGATTTTCCTCACAGCCGCGCTCGGCATGCCCGAGGCGCTCATCCCCGTGCAGCTGCTGTGGGTTAATTTAGTCACGGATGGCCTACCGGCGACGGCGCTGTCGTTTAACCCTCCCGACCACGATGTGATGAAGAGGCCGCCGCGGAAGCGCGGGGATCCCCTCGTGGGCGGCTGGTTGTTCTTTAGGTATATGGTGGTGGGTGTGTATGTGGGCGTTGCGACAGTGCTTGGGTATGCGTGGTGGTTTATGTATAATCCCGCGGGGCCGCAGATTACGTTTTGGCAGTTGGTGAGTACCCCTATATCTTCGGGCCTCCTCGCCCGCAACCAAATCCACCCCCCGCTCCCGGTTCCTATTTGTTATCTCCAATTTCTAACACTCAAACCACAACAAAACAGACCCACTTCCACAAATGCCCCTCCCACTTCCCCTCCGTCGGCTGCGAGATGTTCACGAACGACATGTCCAAGTCCGCCTCGACGATCTCCCTCTCCATCCTCGTCGTCATCGAAATGCTCAACGCCATCAACTCTCTCTCTGCCTCCGAGTCCCTCCTAACTTTCCCGCTGTGGAACAACATGATGCTCGTCTACGCCGTCGCCCTATCCATGGCGCTCCACTTCGCCATCCTCTACGTGCCATTCCTGCAGGGCCTGTTCTCGATCCTACCACTTGATAGGAAGGAGTGGGTGGCTGTGCTAGCCTTCTCGGCGCCCGTAGTAGTTATTGATGAAGTCTTGAAGTTTTTGGATCGGAGGTTTTATAATGCGCGTGCGGAGATTGGTGGGGATGCTCTCTCCTCCTCGTCAGCGGGGAAGTATCAGAATGGCGTGGCGAAGAGGAAGGGTGCGTGAGAGGGGTGGGAATGTGGTGATCTCGCCGATTATCTATCTAGTGTGTATTTTGTGTGAGAGGACGAAGGGGCGGACCGCCTGAGGAGAAAGGATGGAAAAAGGGGGGGAAGAAAAGGAGAAAGGAGAAGGAGAAAAAAAAAAAAAAAAGATACTCGTGCGTTCCTTTGATTTTTTTTTTTTTTTTTTTTATCTGATTGATTTTCTTATTTGTATTTTTCTACGCTTATACATATTTCTGGTTTGGTTTTATTCTCACTCACAAAATGTGTTTGTTGTGGCGGTGGTTTTTTTTTTTATTTCATTTTATCTCATTTACGTTCTTTCGTTTTTCGTTTTTCCATTTTATCCATTTTATAATTTTGCTTCCTTTTGAGATATTTTCATCTTCTTCTTTCTAGAAGTATTGTTGATTCCATTCATGCATTTTCCCATTCCATTCCTTTCCATTCCTTTCCTTTCCTATCTCACTCTCCATCTTTCATATGCTTGTAAACCACCAATGTTTAAAATTAAAATATCCTGCACATATTACATAGAGAATAGACAAAGACCGATGGTTCACCAGAGACGAGAACAAAAAGAAGGGGGCAAAGGGATGGGGGAGTGGTAGGGTGGTAGAGGGGATGTGGGGGGTAGGTGGTAGGGTGCTTTCTGTTTCATGTACAGTACATTATATTCCATCTGTTGTTTTTTATTTATATACTAATACTTCTTCTTCTCAACTATATCGTGAATTTTGTTTCTTGCTGGTTGGATATCCCGATAATGATGGCCTTCCAAATGGTGCGCTTGCAACTTTCAGGGGATGAAAGAGAGAAGGGGGGGCGGCGCATGTAAATGCAAAAATGTATGAAGCCCAGCGCAAGGCCCTGGACTGGCTCGGCTGTTGTAAAAGAAAATATGGAGGAGAGGAGGATTTAGTTCGGTGATTTTGTCCGTCACCTTGCACTGCTTTATGTTCTTCTCTCTTTTCTTTTCTTTTCTTTTCTTTTGACTTTCTGGTTTTCAGCTTATAGTCATTGATCAGTAATGGCCTATTACACACAGCCTACTGAGTTAGGGCCGCTCAGTAGGTAGTTTAGTGGATATATATATATATATGCTAGATCTTAGGCTACACAGCCAATTTAAAGCCTTCCAGATTTACATGAGAGTGTACTTGTAAATATATAATAATATAACTACTAGCGTGAGAAAGAACTTTTGACGCGGGCCTCTTATTTCACGGTCGAATATTTTATGTTAAATAGTTTCATTGAGATCATGTTAGAAGGGGGGTGAAATTTGTTGGCAGTCGAGTGTGCTGAAGGTATATGAAATGAATTGCTTGCTGCATTTCATTTACTTTGGTTGAATGTATGTCGTACTGTCTGAGAGTGGTTTTTAGAGGGAGATAGAGAGAAGAGAGAAGCAAAATTTCAGCGGACAGAAACCAAGGATCGGAATTGAATAGGAGGTTGAGGGGGTAGAGTAATTTTCATTTTTGATTCTCCTTTAAATTTTTGAGATTTTACTCATGGCTTTGTCTCCAATAAATAGGTTTTACACACAGCTGGAAATAGGGTAGGCCGATTACGAGCCCGAGTCCGATTTCCACTGGCTCAGAAGTATCCAGGCGCAAGTAGGAACGACCCATCGTCATACTTCCTAAACACCACAGCAAATCTCCGCGCACCAGTAATTGCCATCCTTAAACTCCGAAATTAAAATATCCATCAACTTATAGATTTAAATCATCAACCTCTCCACGTTCACCTTCAAGGTCTGAATCTGCGCATTCAGATCGCTGGCTTCGTTGGTGGTTATGCTGGCCGCGATGACAGCACGGCTGACACCGCATGCACGGCCTAGGGCCATTTTACTGGGCACGTATACGTACGGCACGTTCTTATCCTCAGCGAGGAGCGGCAGGTGAAGAAGAATCGCCAATGGGGTAGTGTCTATTCGCGACGAAGGGCAAACAGTTAGCTGGGGGCCAGCACACAATGAAACATATGCTCTGGTGGTGGTTGTAATGTAAATTGACTTGGTGGATGTGACGCAGTTCTTACCAGCAGCGAGAATCACAATCTCGGAGGTGCCGCGGTTCAGGGTCTTGGTGGCTTCGTTGGCGCCCTTCTTCAACTGGCGGTAATGAGAGGCTTGCTGGACAAGGTCCAGAATGGTCTGGGTCATGGCTTGGTCGGCAAGGGGCCAAGCTAGTGATTTTTTTTTCCCGTAGATGTTAGCTGTAATATTTTCTTTAGAATGATTGTGGAGCTCGCTTTCAAGTGCGTACCTGCGTTAGTCATGTCAGACATGATTATGGTCGATATCCTCTCGCGTGGGAAAGACAAGGGAGGGGGCGATGAATAGACAAGCGGTTTATTGAAGGGTTCACGGCCGGTAGCACTTGCGCTGTTGGGTGGCTCGCCCTTTGTACGTGTGAGGAAGTGAGGTCTGAGAGTGGAAGATCGATCAGCAAAACGCTCTGGTGCGATGTTGAAAAATCTCCAGCGGTTGGCTTTGGTGACGGGCCGAATATTTATCCGAGGGCCCACGGATCGGGACTAGCGGAAACCTTAAAAGCTTATTTCGACTCCTCACCGTGGTTTTGGCTTTACTTGGCTCTGCGTCATCGGGAACTTGATCGCAAGTTCAAGTTTTTATTTTTAGACAAGTTCAATGGTGATGTCGTCGAGACGGGGCGTCTGCAGAGCATGAACGGTAACCCTCTAATACTTGCACTGGCTCCATACACTTGGGAAGTGGCGGGCCACCGTGTGTGGATGGCTTGAGGGCACACACCCTAAGCAATTTACCTCGTCAGAAAGAGGTGAGCCTTTGACGCCGCGACCCTGAAAGGATTGCTCGCCACATCTCTAGCGTTTAGAGTGAAATTATCTGTTTCCGATCTAACTCAGCTCCTCATTATTCTGTTTCTCAAACTTCATACAACTGCGATGAACTTTTAACACTCGAAGACGCAATGTGCCTCAAGAAAAGAGAGGGATGAACACTGAGTCATTATAATTGTCGAAATGATAGTGCAGCTAATTCATGGCTTGTATCAATGATATCGATGGTACAGTCACAACAGATTTTCCCTTGGCTGTGGTTCATGATGACAAAGGTGATATCGAATCATCTCTTTTTTACCCTCACAATCAGAGCGTGTGGGCACCGTTGGAGATAAGTGATGGAACATCATTGTTAACTTATACGACGCCTAACTCCTTATTGAGTATGTCGGGCTAAACAGTCCTTCAATCAAGGAAAACCATGCTCTAGATGTCCACAGCTGGGCTAAAATAAAAGCCCAACGCTCAGGGATGGAGCATCAATCAGAGTTCAGTTGCTGGTCTCTGCCTCTGGTCTATCTTACATTTCCTAAATGCCTTCAGAGGTTTTGGTCAACACCATAGCGGATGGAATTCCGGTCCTATCAGGTTTGGTTCGACATCCTAGATGGCCAAAACAGCTGTAAAGTTGAATTCCCGAATTTTTCATATTGAGTCATCCTAAAAGCTCAATACTTCTACTCTGCATTGTAACTTATTCATTTTTCTTGTTTCTTCCCAACGACCTTGCTCTCCCCATGTTGTTCCCGAAAGACTGCCAGCCTGCACCTAAATGCCGAGAACAAAGACTGCATGCCTGGCTCTGATGTTGACAAAAGTTGCAACTGACCGCGGGCGGCCCTATAAACAGGCGTCTGATGTTGCAAGAGAAGAAACCCAATGACTTAACGTTCTTATGCCTCTCTCTCTCTGGTTTGCATGCGCCTTGAGTATCATATTTCCCCACTACGGAGCTTTCGACACCATCTGTGCTGCATGTGGGACAAGCTCCTTTGCTACGGCTGCCAAGTCCGTTTTGTGCATTGGCACAGCTAATGCTTCAAATTTAAAGCCAGCAGCTTTGGCTTCAGCTTCCACTAAGCTGATTCTTATTCCCTGTGGAAGGATTCCAAAGAACTTTGTGTTGGTCGGACTTATTCGAACGGCTGTATTTACCTCACCGATGTAAATCTTGGTCAACGGCTTTCCGGCGTTTCGACTAAGCCGCTCAAGATCCCGTTGCAGTTGACCACTGTCTTTGGTTTTGAGGAGCTGCGAAATCATTTATCCCGTCAGAACATATTCCAGTTGCGTCTTACAAGGGTTGAGCATTAGTTATTTACCTGTTTTTCAAAGTCAGCCACCGTCTTAGAAAAAGGCTGCTTGTTGTTTCGTGCGATCGTTCTTGCATTTAACCAAAAATCTTTAGCCGCTGCCTTGATTTCGAGGAGGCTATCTTGACTCATTTTCGCGACTCTCGTCGTCGTCATGGTCAACTCTCTGGCACCCTTTCTTCCCGCCTTCGCTTCGAAGATTGCCAAAATATTGAACACCTGCTTATCCGTGTATCCGAGCATGCCGTCCGTAATTTGTCGCCCTGAGGCGTCCATAATCGAATAGCCAGGGACGAACTCCAAAGTTTTTCCTTTGGGCACCTTTACTCCCAACGCAAATCCAGCATGTCGTTCCCTCAGCATAGGAATTATATGTGACTCTGCCAGCTCTTCAAGCAATTGTCCTTTGATGTGATCTACATTGGGGCCTTTTCTGAGGATCCTGTCCACGGCGATTTCGTCCAACTTGTCCAGGATTGGGTATCTCGTAGAAAGTGTTTGCCAAAGGACTTTTGTCTCTGGTGCCACCACATTGGGAATGGCGACGGGCGAAGTAACCACAGCTTTCACAGCAGCCGCAGCTTCCTGGGCAATTTTTCCTTCAACTCGACCGAGCGTCTCTAGAGCTTCCTCCCCAGCCTCTATTGAACGAATTACAGCTTGTTTTTCGCTAGCTCGTGCAGAGGCGTTCATAACTTTCCTCCACGAGGCCGCATCTTTTCCATAGAGTTTGACGAGTCGTGATTCTGTGTAGAGTGCCCTACCCCCTTTAACCATTCTGCCAGCGATGGGTAAAAGAATAGAAGCGGCAAGAATGGCTTGTTCAACAGGGCTCAGGTCGTAGCCGAATAAATCGCGCCCTGTCCACACTTCATACAATGCTATCGCGTTTCCTAAAAACGGCACCAAAGATAGCGTGATTTCGATGGCTGTAACAGCTGTCGGGCGGTCGATGGTGCCCTGGGTTTGCGTCTTGGTTGTCGGCAAACGGGGAATTAGGTTTAGGAGGACAACCACATCCGGCCGCTCACTTAAAAAATCGTGCATGGCAGATTTAGAAGATTGATCCAGCAGTTTCTGGGTGACAACCTGCTTCTGGAACCAAGCCTGAAACTCATCTCTGATTGCCGCCGTCAGCCTGGGGATCAGCGGGTTCGATTCCCAGATGGACGTCACGCCTGTATACTCATTCTTATACCATACAAAGAATTCATATTTGGAACGAGCCCAAGCGTTTGCGAATGCGTAGTGCTCCGCGTCTTTCCTTTTATGACTGCTCAATCGATCATAGCTCGTTGTTTCGTATGCCACCTTCTCTGCGGCTGCATTTGTTGCGTTCTCGTACCACATTGACATCTTTTTCATTTTGGCCTGCAATGATACGGCCATTCCACCATACGTTCCGACAACCTGCGGCCGTGCTGTTGTCCATTGCTCGTTCATGATTTCTGCCCGCTCTCGGGCGATGCCAATTTGCGTGGTGTTCATGGTGGCATCGGTGAGCAGTTTAGTCAGGTCATTTTTCGCCTCCTGCAGTATGCTCTGAAGCTCGGCTTCTGTGATCCGCTCCATGGTGCTTTATCGTGATGTCACAAATAGTTAGTTACCTTGATGGGCTACAGTGATTTCATCCAGGATGGTTTTGGAAAACATTGGGTTTCCAGAGAGGCAGGATTTCTTCATTATGTTGAGGAGCTGATGGATCTGGTGACCTTTTTTTCTTTGTTTTCTTTTCTTCCCCCTCATTTTCTTTTTCGTTTTCCATCTCGTCGTGGGCTATGCAAGGTGCCAGGGTTGTGGTGGCATCATGGGTTTTCGCGAGCCGTTGAGTCTGGATGAATCTATGCGGCTTAAAATTTAAGTTTTGATGACCTCAAACCCTATCAAATGATCATCCCATTCAGCATTCTGCAGCTGAGTACGCCACTTTGTCCATTGCCAAGGTCTGAGCCTCGTTAACTTTGAACGCCTTCTAGCATTTGTGATCGATCCATCAATTCCATCAGTCTCACTTTATGCTTTCGGCAATGCCTCCTCTGGAAAATGACTGGTTGTTGCCTACAGAGCCTTGTGAAACGGGCCGCGAGGTTCCCGTGATGCTGTCAGCGCTGGCGATTGGGGGAAGGGGCTTTTTGTCACAGTATTATTTAAAGTGTGGATGAATTGCCATTTCACCAGGCATCGTGAATGGGTTAAAACTCATTTTCTTCCCTTAGCTTCCGTTTCGACAGGCCATTTTGATCTTCAGGAGAAATCCTCTGCAACCATGGCTGAACCGCTGTTCAATTTCCTGTTGATACGACGTTAGTATTCGTTCCCCCTGAGAGAAGAAAAGAAAAGGAAAAAGAAAATACAAAGAGAGCCATTACTGACCTTCCCCACTCCGCAGCTCATGTATCACAGGATGCTCGCAAACCGAGCATTCCATTGTTGCAAAATTCCCCTTTCCAAAAGGAACTTTTGGATGCTCTCAAAACACAATCCCCAAGAACTGACGTATTGAAAGTTGTCAAAAAATTCGTCATCAGTAATGAATTCATTGCTGACCCTACAGGGACGGATTTTCAAAAGAAACTGCGCCAATTTAAAGTTCTGGTTGATGAAGCTAGCAATGTCAGTAATGATTTAAAATATACTGTAGTCCTTGAATTGGCAAAGCGCGCGTTTGGAATAGCAGCATCAGAGCTGGTTAAGAGCGGGGAGTTTGGTACTCTCCTTCAGAATCTCCGTGATTCAGTTGTGGCAATCAAATACGACCAGGTAATGACTATTCCTTGTCCAATGTTTTTTGCCGTTCTCCAGCCTCAAATATGACTTTTGTTTGCCCGACTTTCAAATTAACGTTATTTCTCAAGTCGGAACACTCAAAACCGGTCGAAGATCTTGTCAACCAGATCCGTGATCTCGAGCTCATCGAAAAAGCAGTGCAGCTGGAAAAAGATGTACCACCAACTGTGTCAAGCGACAGTGCAAGCGAGTTCAAAGGTCCTGCAACTGAGTCCACTGAAACGACTGCTGCCGCGGGACCCCCTGAATGGAGCGAAAACACTGCCTATAAGGTTGGCGATCAAGTCTCGTACGATGGCCATGTGTATGTTTGCATCCAAACGCATACTACTGTCATTGGATGGGAGCCTCCCAAAACCCCGGGCCCTATGGGTGCGCGTGAGTAGACCCAATCCAGATGGAGATCCCTTCCTACCAACAGATGAGAGTACCACCTCTTCGGGTATCGACAACGATCATTGCTGGCTTCCGACTGGAACTCCAATTAAAATCGGTACTCTCGGAGCCAGAGGCAACAACGATGATCCCACTGATGACACGAAAAAGAGGCAGATCGCCTTTCTCAGCCTCCACAATCAGCTCTTCCGAGCTGTGAAGGAGCTGACGGCAATGGATCCGCGGAAGTTCCAAATTCCCGTACAGGATCCCCACGACGGATTCACCCGTGATACAAAATACTCAGCGATATCCTTTACTGAAAAGCCGACTTGACTTGCAAGCAGCATTACGGGGCATCAATGTTGACCAGTTCCGAGCTGCCGCTGCGCGTTCTGGCACTACACCTCCTCCTGATGCACCAAAAATTTCAACAGCAACCGCTGATCCTGTTGTGGCCGCGGACCCGCTGCAGTTACAAGACGGAGCAGGAGCAACCTCCGCTTTGGGTCTTACTCGCGAGCTTCTTACCGCCGGAGCCGGCTTGCGAGGTGTAGGGAAATTTATACCTTTTGCGGCAAGGCAAAATGCGTTGAAACTTCAAACGGGTGTGGTTTTGTCCGAGAATACAGCCGCTCTTCTACAGAAGGAGGGGATTGAACCAGACGCGGTGCCATTACCTGGTATTTCCCCAATAATCATATATCATCTGAGGTGTAGCTGACGTTTCCGGTACTAGATATTGTCCAGAATTTTCGTCAGAAGATGCGCGAAGTTGAGCGAGATTTGAAATCGTTAGCTCCCTCTTTTGAGGATATACAAATTACTCGAGTCGGCAATACATTGGTGAGCGTGAGGACACCTCGGCCTAGCAAGTACAGCCAGTTCCTCACCGGAATCAATTTTGGGCGACTTGTTCCTAAACTTCCTTTGCTCCCACCTCCAGACCCAAGGGTTCCTCACACTGTTGGCAAAGTGAACAAGATTGGTGTCGGGGATCTCCTTGTTGTGAGGCAGCAGTTAATCGGTTATGAAGGCGCTGATATCGCTCATATTGAAAATGTGTTGAAGGGCGAATCAAAGAGCCGTGAACATGTTCGGACTGACAGAACAGAGACTGTGACAAGCCTCGAGACTGAGACTACCCAAGAAGATACTCGAGAGTTAGCTTCAACAACTCGTTTTGAGATGGGCCAGGAGACTCAAAAGCAAATTCAGGAGGCCTATGAGCTCAAAGGGGGCGTCCAGGTCACAGCGAAATACGGCCCTGCGGTGGAAGTGTCCGCGAATGTTGAGGGCGGGTTCAATCGATCCAAGGAGGAATCTACCAAGACGGCAACGAAGGTAGGTAAAATAAATGACATTTCTTATGCACGTCCTTAGTTTCCCATGGGCGCGTTTGGGACTAACTTTCGTCCAGTTCTCGCAGGACGTTACGGAGAAAGCGGTCAAAAAAATCACAGAACGAGTGCTCCAGAAGACAACTACTACAATAACTGTGAGTGTTGGGGGTCAATGGCTAAGGACAAACTGGACTAGCTTTCTGACGCGTTCTCGCAGTCTGAAGTCGTGGAGAAGAACTCCCATGGTATCGATAATACTGCCGGCAATGTGAATATATCTGGCGTTTACCAGTGGGTGAATAAGGTGTAAGTAATACCCAAGTAGCCCTTACATTTCCAAGTAGCGAGTGTAACTCGTCTTAACTTCAAACTATAGATATGAAGCCCAGGTTTTCAATTATGGGCTGCGCACCCTGTTGTGAGTATCCCTTCCTGTCTGGTTTCCAAAGACGCACATGTTCACGAAATAATCAGTGATTTTATGGTTCCCGAGCCAGCTGCATGGGTAATTAACACCATGACGAAAGCCGCGGAAAGCAAAACGATGCTGGAAAAACCGCAAAAGTTCGACTTGGAGCCTTCCCAAATTTCAGAAGAAGGTGAGGACAATTACGGCCATTGGGTTAAAGTGTACGAAGCAACCGACGTGGGGCCCCCGCCTGCAGATTACATCACTGCGACGGACCAAATCAACAAAGGTGATGGCAAGCCCGAGCAAGATTACCAGCACACTGGCCAGATCACAATCGAGTCAGGCTATGAAGCTGTGCAAGTAGTCGTGGGATGTGCGGTAAATTACTGGGAAGAAAACTGGGTGGCCGACGTCATTGTTGGGAATGAGACATGCCGATTCAAGCAGGGCGCTGGTTTTATTATCCCGTTGTCTGTCGATAAACAAAGAGGAACCATTCCATGGGGAGTAAAAACATGGAACACTGCTAGCATTATTGTGACGGTAGATATCAAGTGTGCAGTCACAGAGGACGCGACTAACAAGTGGAGAGCTGATACACATGCAAAGCTCATGACTGCGTATAAAGCAAGATTGCAAGAGTACGAGGAGAAGTTGGCGACTTTGCAGCTGCAGCAAGGAATTACTATTGAGGGAAGGTTAGTATCTCGTTTTGCTAACAAGTTACGCTCATGCTTACCCTTTCGTTTCCAAAGAAACCCTGTCGCAAACCAAGCCACAATAAAGCAGGAGTTAAAGAAAAACTGTATCTCCATTATCACCGGACAGCATTTTGACCGCTTCAACTCTATTTCAATCGGGCCTTGGGCGTATCCTCAAATCAATCTCTACGAGGCTGAAGCCGAAGGGGAATACGTTCGGTTTTTCGAGCAAGCGTTTGAATGGGAGCAGATAAGTGAGTGGAACAAGTGCATTTACCCACGAAGTTCTCCTATGACGTGGACTCACAAATGGACCAGTGTACGTTATGTACCCGTACTTTTGGGGACGTAAGCCCTATTGGGCGCAGCGACTAGCATTCGAGGACCCAGATCCGCAATTCGATGAGTTCCTTAAAGCAGGCTTCGCCCGAGTTCAAGTCCCAGCGAGACCTGGATTCGAGGCTGCTATTGACCAGTATGTTTTCAACGCCAATCCTCCGTTGAACTTTAGAAGCAGTTATTTAATCGAGTTTGCTACCCTATACTGATGAAAATACATCGGGATAGTTTCCTGCAGTTCGGCGAGCTTTGGAACGGCGGGCCACTTCCGACCATATCCAGCGAGCTATTCCTTCCGATCGCTGATGAGATTGCGGAGAGAGCGCAGAAGCCAGGCGAAGAGCTCCCACAAGGAAAGCCTTGGAAGCTGCGCATTCCTACGCAACTTGTTAAACTAAGGCAGGACGACAAATTACCCAAGTGGATAAAGAAGGATGGTGAATGGGTGCCAGATGAGTAAGTTTTTCTATAATCGGCACGAAAGTTGAGGTTAGAGGTGAGAACATCCAATTGCCGTTTCGGGATCTTTTTTTCTTTCTTTTTTTTTTTTTTTTTCGGGTGAATTGGTAATATCCCGCTGTATGTCTTTTCATGGTTTTCTTGACAGGATGGTTCTCCCAGACATACAGAAGTTCATGCAAAACCCCATTTTGATGATACAAATGGACGGTTTCAAAAAACATATTATCCCAATCAGAATGTATGTCAATGCAATGCCGCTGAGGCCAATATCCCATAAAATTTGATTTCACACAAGCTGAGTAAGTTGGTTCAAGACATGCCTGCAGTCAATATCAAACAGGGTTGGAGAACAGGGGTCGAATTTCCGGCTAGATTAGTTATTGTAATGTGATTTTGAAATCCTCCTTGCATCATACCAAAAAATTTGGCACCGTAGCCAAACCTAAATTCCCTCCTTGGCCCCAGTGATCATACTGGAGGCGCTGCGTAGGCCGAGGGAGATGAGATCGGACAGGCTTGTTCAACCCCAAGCTTCTTGAGTTACACCAGTTCCTCGCCTTCATCCAGGTTTGAACTAAGGCCCTCCAGGCAGTCAAACAAATTTTGATCCCCATCATCAGAAACCAGAAGGGTATAGTACCTTTGAGGTGTCCCCCGCACCCACGGGGCCTGGGAATTGAAAAGGGTATTTTTACAGCAGAGCAATATGCTTCCTGCTCCTCTTGACTCTTGAACAGGCTCGGGAATTTCGTGGGCAGATATAGCAACTCGCCGGAAAAGCCTAGGAGATGAGTGAACGTGGAAGCTTTCGGAACTTTTCCCAGGTCCAAGCCATGGAGGACATACTATGTAAGCGATATTAGTATTATTGATAGCTTGGGCCAGGCTGACCCAGTTGGTTCTTATTATTGTTCCGTCATCCCTGCTGCTGGACACATTCCTGCCTTCGAGATGCTCTTGGCCTCTTAGTGGGCTATATCCGTGACTCTCTTGGCCGCCCAATCACCAGCCCAGCAGCGCCAACTTCCGGCAGCCCAACACGCATGCTGGCTTATCAGGGCTCAATGGCGCCGGGCGAGGGGGATCTTTGAAAAGTATTGGCAGAATTGAGTGGAACACCCTGGAGGGGCCACCTTTCAACTGCGGAAATGAGGGGCGTGCCTGAAATCTACCAGCATTGCAAAAATTTCTTGTTTGCGCCAGAGCAGAACGAGCAGAACTATAAACGCCGCGGCTTGATACCAACCAGATTTTAACGTGAATACGAGAATAGAGTTCAGATAAGCGGATGGCCACATCCATCTTGCCCGCATTCTTGTGCGGAGAAGGCCAATGTCGACTCGTCAGCCGCCACCAGATCATGAGAGCCGATTAGTTGCCACGTCCAGCGCCGTTGTGTGCATTGTGAGCAAGTGCCCATCTCCCATTCTGTTCGAGAGGCCCAAACAGACTTCGTCAAACCGCCGTTGGAATCCTGAAGCCTCCTCGTTGGTCGGGCGCCGCCAATAAAGTTCGCTGAGTTCCTGGCCCGCCCTACAGATGCTAAATTCTCACTAGTCAGATTCTGGGCAGTGGTCTGAATCACATAGAGCAACAAATCTCAACATGCCATGGACTCGACAGGAATCTAGCCCCCTTTCTGATGGACGGGCAGGGGATTGTCAATGGTGGTCAATCCTTGGAGGCAGACCCCGGATTTCCAACGAGGGGCACCCAGGCCCTCTTGGGACATTAATATTAATATATATCCCTCCTCGGTCTCTCGTAATCCCTCATCCACAAGTAGTTGCACATATGCATATATTTCAGCCCTCGCGGCAGAATGACCAGATATTTTTCATTCCTTGCCAGACGTGATCCAGAAATGGGAAGAAGTCGACTTATTGATAATGGATCGCCCTCGGTATCGTGGTACTATGCGGTCTTCACCAATGCCTGGTTTCAGGTGTTGTTGATTAGCTTTATCTGCTTCTGCTGCCCTGGTGTACGTGGTTTTCCATGGTTGTGAGCTTAATGATTCTAAACATGATTGCCGAAGAAGATCCACTGACTTGATGTTTGAACCCCAGATGTTTAATGCTCTGGGTGGCTTGGGGGGCTCGGGCCAGGTGGACCCTACGGTTGCTGCAAACGCAAACGTAGCTTTGCTCGCGGCTAATGCTGCCACTGCGCTGTTTGTTGTCGGGCCTATATTCTCGATCATCGGTCCACGCGCCTGCTGGTTGGTTGGCGGATGGACCTATGCGCTTTACAGCGGAAGTTTGCTGGCCTTTAACAGTGAGTTGGTTCTCATAAACGCCGCTCAAATTCTTTTTCCAATTTTATCTAGATGATATCTTGGTCCATCCAGCATTGCCGCCGGCTAACCATTTTTCAAAAGTCATTGCAAATGGCCCCTTCGTCATCGTCGCCGGTGGCATTCTCGGTGTCGGCGCCAGCTTCCTCTGGGTTGCTCAGGGCGCTATAATGACGACTTATGTCCCCGAAGCCCAAAAGGGCCGTGCCATTGCCGTATTCTGGATTGTCTTTAATATGGGTGGCACAATCGGCTCCCTTGCCAGTTTTGGGCTCAATTTCCACAACAGCCAAGGCACTGTATCCAACAGCACATACATCGCCACGATGGCCGTTATGGGGTTTGGATGGCTGATCGGCATCTTTATCTGCCCCCCATCCCGTGTCCAGCTCTCCCAACTCCGCGAAGCCGAATATATGGTTAGAGATCGCTCACTCCGGGCTTTGGGGAAACTGATCTTCAGCACCATCTTCCGCCTCCAAGTCGTGTGCAGCCTCCCCTTGTTTTTCTGTGCGAATCTCTTCTACTCCTATCAACAGAACGATGTCAATGGCAGACATTTACATCCGGACCCGTTCTCTAAATTCTGCACTGTACTGGA